ACTTTTGAAGCAGATACCTGCTTTTGAAATTTAAGCTCTCCAGCGCAAAATATGTGTGGTTTTTATCTTTGATGCATACAATTTATTTAAATTCGATTCCTATTGTCAACAACATACGAGAGTCAATTTCTATTGACTTTAAAGATTCTAACTCCAAGTACATGAAATGAAGTTTCAATGGCAATTAAACACCACTCAATACTAAAGGTGTCCGACATCAAACTTCAGATGACCTTATAGAAAATTAGTGAGAAATTGTCCATGTCCAATACACATTTTATAGTTAGACCAGAAGAGAGTTAATTTGCGGGCTTTACCCGAGTTTGACAGTCTATACCTAGAGTTATAATCCACGAGATGTTTATGTGCCCAGGTCCCCCGCTGTCATCGCTTGTGTGTGTTTGTCTAGTGAATCACATTCTTTGCTTATATTCTCTGTAACATGTTTCAGTTGTGATTGCATGCTTCTATTCTGTCCATGATAGGTCGATGTTGGTTGATGATATTTACAGTAACTTACTCAAATTTAAACAGTCATATATTTAAAAAGACAAGTTCTGAGGACTAGAAAACGCACCCAAAGACAATGTCATGTATAAATGTTACCTGTATTAAATTATACACTGTGGTTCATCGATGTCAAATTAAACTTTAGTTAACGCTGCTATTGTCATATAAATGTATATAATGGTCAAAATATTGTTTTTTAAGTTTTATCTGCAAAATTTGATAATATGAATCTAAATGGTTAAAGAATGAAATCAATTTTAATGATATAGTAATAGCTCACCGAATCAATTATTTAATAGAAATTGGCTTATTAAAATTTGAAACAAAAAACTAGAGGTCAACAAAATTGGAATTCAACCTGTAAAGATTCTTCAAAAGGTGTGACATATAATCTATTTACAAATTTACACTTTGGATGTCCTTTTATATGGTTATAACAAATTTTGGTGAAAAAGCAAACCATAAATTCCTTGAAACAGGGAAGGTATTGAAAGAATAATGATTATGTCTTTTATGTAAAAATGATCAAAAAGTGAAAAATAGGAGGTGCACAATGACAATATGTAATAAAGATTCTGTGAAAGTTTCATAAAATTTCATTCAGTGGTATGTAAACATATAGGAGTTGCGCACACTTTGTATATATGTTATATGTTACCCCAATGTTGTTATAATAACAGACGGACTGTGTTGTTAAATAACAACCAAAGAGATGTTAATAAACTGGTAAACTAAACTGGTCATATAAATGTATATAATGTTAAGTAGTTTTATCTGGAATATGATTTATGTCTTTTAATGCTAAGCAAGCTCACCACAGCTAGTTTTTGCTAAATTTGTATAAACAAAATATAACACTTTCAAAGAGATGAAATATTTTATTTATGACGGTATAAAAATAACAATATAACGAACAAGAAGGGGATCAGACTCACAAGCTCTGATTGTAAGTTGCATTAAATATTATAATGTCTGATCCCCCAAAAAAGAGTACAAAAAAAGTAACTATAAAACAAGACAAACAAAACATCACAAGAAAAAGTTAGCAAAAAGATGGCTCATCAAAACAAACTGGACCACAAGATGTGATATGCATGTCACAACAGTGTAAGGTGTGACAAGCAGATCTCATCCGTGCCATCCAAGATGAGCTTGCACACAAAGGCACTACATTATTCAGATCCAATAACATCTTGAATGGAAGCAGTTCATCACTGGCCTATCCATTTCATTCATCCATAAATGATTTATAAAGAGAAGCCAAAACAAATACAGAAAAAATGCATACTACGAATCAGTCAATTGTAATTCCATTGACATTAGTTATACACAAGACTCTGTATCACAATTATCAACAAGAGTTTAATAAATAATAGTTAACAGAAAAAAATTGTTAAATGAGCCAGCAAGAAAGCTAAGTAAGGGTTTACTAACAAAATTTGACAGCAGTTGTTCACTAGCCTGTCTCAACTAACTATTGGTATTATGGGGAAATAATTAATAAACAGCAGTTAACATTGACCTATATTTGAACTATGAGAATCCGGGTAATTTCTCCACAGTTCCTTCTCCGCCTAGGTCATAAAAGATTTAAACAGCATTCAGTTTTTAATGATCTTAAATAATATATACAATTTAACAACTTTTCATTTTGTTAATAATAAGGCTTACTTTTGATGTCTTTTTCATATCTAATGAGAAAAAAACATCAATTATTTACAAATGCTTTAAAATGGAAAAAGAAAATATATAATATGATATAATAATATATATATTATAGAAAGTTATATACAATTCAGAACTTAAGTATTTAGTAATGACTTTGTAGTATGAAATACATTGAGATAACAAACAATATCAAGCCTAAAAGTCCATTAAAACAATACAAACAAGGAGCATAGAAAATACGAACCTTTATGACATCAGAGATGAGATCAGGTGCCATGGAGGAGTGATCATCCCCCGCCGACCTATCACACCCGCTTTATGTTCCTTATCATTATAGAGAACCGTAGACAATTCAATGTGTAAATAATGGATTAACAATTACTATGAAAAATATCATTAATATTTGATTTAATGATAAAATACATTTCCTGACAAGGTCATTAATTCAAGGAAATTGCGAGATGATGACTTTGACCGAGACTGTTGATATTCTTGTTTTATTTTCTCGACATGTTTTTCAATAACTTACCGGGGATACCTTGTTTAAGAAATTGTTCGTACGAAGAATACAGTATGCTCTTGTTTATCGAATCAACTGAAAGATTGATAGATTGTATATTGTTTAACTTCCCTCTCGAGAGTTTTTCACTCATATGGAGACGCCACCACTTGCCGGTGGAGAGCTGCAAATTTTGTCCTATACTCAGCACGTAGGGCCATTGAGCAGGAAGGGATCTTTTTCGTGACAGCACCTACTGCGACACGAGACCTCGTTTATACAGTTTCATCCAAAGGACCGGTCTCCATGCACGTCCCACAGTGGAATTCGAACCCGCGACGTTAAGATCGACTCCTTACTTTGCGACTCTAGAGCAGACGTTTTTACCACTGCGCCACGCGGGCAACTCAACTGAAAGATATAAACGTCATATGCAGGTGATATGGGTATATTGCCATGGAAAGTTTACAGTTCAAAAGTAGAAGAAAATAAGTTTATCAAAAAGCTTTGTTGTTATGTTACCATTACCGCATTTCTATGGTAAAATATCAAACTATAAAAACAGATGCGTCGGGCTATATGGTATCTTTCATTCAAGCTCACTTGAATATATCGTGTCGACATATGAATGGAAATAACTATTGTAAGCTGTTAATCTGTTGTCGATATACAGCGCTATGACAAAAGTATTCGCGATTTTTCAAAATGGCGGACGTAAACACGATGCGCTTCGTAAAAATAAACAATAAATTGTGAAACAAATAACAGACTTACCTTTATTAATACTTGGTCAGGTGGCCCTTAGACTTGATTACTGCTAATAGTCGACGGGGAATAGATTCATACAAGGATTTGATATAGTTTTCGTCGAAGGAAGTCCAGATGTGTAAAATAGCATCGAACAATTCTTCCGGAGTCTTTAAGTTTGGAGCTCGATTTTGCAGAGTTCTCTTGATTTTTAGCCATAAATTCTCTATAATATTAATGTCCGGTGATTGAGCTGGCCATACAATTGTAGGAATATTATTTTGTTGTTTGTAATCTACAGTAATACGAGCTCTATGAACGGGGGCGTTGTCGTCTTGAAAACGATAGGTTTTGTTGAGGAAATGTCGGGCAATGACGGGCCAAAGTTGATCTTCTAAAATGGATATGTATTTTACTGCATTAATATTTCCATTGACCATGCAAAGTGTACCAACCCCATGGTAAGTGATGCATCCCCACACCATTACCGAAATCCTTCTCTGCCGAGGGGGGCACATGCACTGTGGCAAGTACGATTCTTTAGATGTTCTCCACACATACACTCTATGATTCTCTCCTAAAACTATCTGACTTTCATCAGAAAATATAATTGTGTTCCAATAATTATTCACTGTGAGTTTTCTTTTCTCTAAACACCATGCAACACGCCTTTTTCTGTTGATCTCGGAACCGACCATTTTTTTTCTAACAACTCTTCGCTTATAATCATGATCACGCAAAAATCTTTGGACTGTCCGTGGATTAACAAAGTCATTAGCACCCCTGCTTTCATTAAATTCATTAGTAATATCCTTTAAAACCCGTCCTCTGTTAGTTTTAGTATGTCTAATAATCCAGTTCTGATCTCGTTTTGACAGCTTCCGAGGGCGTCCTTTTCTTTTCAATGTTTTGACTTCACCAGTTGACAAATATTTTTTCCAAATAGATGATGGTTGACTCAGGTATTTGTAATAAATTCACAATTTCTGATGTTTTTTGCCCCTCCTTTTTCATTTCCACAATTAATTTTTTGACATCATTTGATATTTCTGTAGATTTCCTACCCATCGTAATATCTGTGTGTTTACATAAAATCCAAGACAGCAGACGATAAAAATACTTACATATAACGTCACTTCCGATGTGAAGACAACTCTGTAAAAATTTCGTATGTCAACACGGCATCTAATTAGAGTTATTGCCCATTCCCCGAGCGAGGCGCAGCGCAAGAAAGACGCCATTGCGTAAAAATCGCGAATACTTTTGTCATAGCGCTGTATATAAATGTCGTGTTGAAGACCACACCAAGTGCTTTTTTCTTCTCAAGTACAGGTAGAAGACTTTGTTCAAATAATGCTTCATCTGAATATAAAATAGGACTGCTAATAACGAGGCGCTATTGGTACCCATGGGAATTCCGACATATTGTTGGTCGTTTCCAAAGACAACATAGTATCAAAATCATTTTAAATAAACATTTATGCTACAATATGTATGTTTCTTTTATTTGTGTAGTAATGTTATTTAAGAACGGCTTTCTTATATTTGAAATTTAATTAATTCTGTATAATTTCAGTGACGGTGAACACCTCGACCCTTACAGTGGCTGACCCTCTATACGACCAACTATTCACTAACTATAAGGCCAAACTCTTGCCAAAGTGTTCTCAGGGTCACAAGGTTGATGTGTTTCTGGGCACCGCCCTCAGACAGCTGATGAATGTGGTAATGATTTTATTTTTATTTTTCTTGACATAAATCAAGAACTCTTAGAGTACTGTAAATTCTTGCATTTTTGATGCACTTGAAATTTCGGTTTCGAGAAACAGAATTTGTACACGAGTGATCATTCATAATGTTCTCGATTGACCTTATCTTGATTTGACAGAGTTATATGTACATATATATTCCTAATTTCTGCTGTTTTACATTTTAATTTTGTTTCTTTAAACATTTAATCATTTTTCTTTCTTTTTTGTAAAATTGACAGAATGAAAAAGACCAGGTTTTGAAGATCAACATTTGGCTGAGACTGGTAATTCAATTTTTATTACTATATTAACTCGACTATTAATAATAAATAAAACAAAACTTTGCTACTTTAAAAAGATCTGAATATAATAAGGAAAAAAATTATTTTTAACTACAAAATAAACCTGATGATTAAAATATATAAAACAAATCTTTACAGATAGAAAAAGCTGAATCTTTAATGATAGATATACCTGAATTAAACAATAAATTAATAAAACACATTTTAATTTCAGGATGAATGTAATTGTTTCAATAGATAAACAAATTTGAATAGCAGAATATTATTACAAATAAAGCACATTATTACAAATACACAAGCTAATGAATTGTAATAAATAAAACAAATCTTTACCACAAGTTATGCTAAAACATTATACTAAATAAAACACATCATAACTGCTAGATAAGCTAATATATCATAATAAATAAAACACATCTTCACTACTAGATAAGCTAAAATATTATGATTTTTAAAAAGTACAACTTGATAAATAATAATTCGACTTCTGGAATGTCCAGGGTCTGTGTTTAATGCCTTATTCAGAGATTGTTCACTGTTTGTTTTCACCATTTTTTTTTTAAATAAGTAAGTAAGTAAGTAAATATTTTATTATAGTGACATGTGTATAGACAACAAGTAAATACAATTTATAAACGTATATACATCACACCCGGTCCACTGGACCTATATGTCACTTTAATATAAGTACAGTATTACTATAATCATCTAAAGATAGCGCACATGATGGACATTATATTAATTTGATTGGTATAAATATTTTTGTCTTAGTGAAAAACATAAATTTAAAAACTTGGCAGTTTGTCTCTGATGATTTTTCATTAAAATGTATAAATTTTCAACTGGAGCTACATTTCTATTTAAATTAACATTATTAAAGAAAGTTTCTCTGATATTTTCGTAGATTTTACAATGAAATAAAAAATGTTTTTCATCCTCTACTGATTCGTCTTTACCTAGAACACAATAACGTTTTTGTGGAGGTTAGTTTCTAAATCGGCCTGTTTCTATTCGTAACGGAAGGATACCAACTCTAAACTGAGCCATTATGGAGCGTTCTTGTTTTTTCTTGCCATCGTTATGTAAGGTTCCATTTCAAAACTATTTTTAAAGGTCACAAATGTTCTCAATTTGGGTAACGCCGATATTTTCAATTTCCATTTTTCTTCGCAAAGCGCAAACAATTCACATTTGGCTTGATTTAAATCACATATTCGGAGGTAATCAAAATTGGTTTGCATATTCAATAAATAAATTGATCTATATTAGTTTTTTTTTAAATAGAATACAATAATTTTAAAATTTTATCTTCTAGATTGCTAGAATATTTTAATCAAGGAAGAAAAAAGCAGTACTTCTAGATAACACGGATAAGAGAGAAACTCAAATATCAAAATAGAGAAAGATAAAAAATTTTAAGAAATAACGAAAATGTTACGAAACAAATGGAGTGGACATAATGAAGTGTATAATATCACTGGATTTTCAATCCCCGCGCTTATTGTCTAGTATATTTCACGGCAGATATAAATAAGCGTCTAATTAAAATAATCGAAACCTAGGGGTAGGGAATAAATCATTTATCATACGTATTTGTATTACATTAACATTTAAGTGGTGTATTACTTTCATTACTTTTACAGCAATATCTGTCACTGTGACTCGAATGTCCGCCTCTAGACCCAAGTTTTTAATATTTAATAAGTCCAAGAATGTAACAATGTTATTGACAAGATACATGTATAAAACAGATATAGAATATGATATTTTTACTTTTCTTCTCTATAAAATGATTCAACTAAAAACCGAAAAGCACATCTTAAAACAAAACAAGTATTTAAAATCACGAAATTACCAAATTTTCTCGTGGGAATTGATCAACGTGGAATATGTGAAGACAACGAACAGTATTCGAGCTCAAATGTCCAATTAAGAACAGAGCAAACACGGACCTCTAAAACATCAGAAATGGGATCAGCCGATCAGGTGCCATGGAGACGTGAGCATCCCCTGCCGATCGGTCCACCTGCCGTGTGCTCCTTGTTATGTTAGGGAAAAACAGAAAAATCTGTAGATTTCAGTGTGTATATAATGATCTAACATGAAAACCGACTATAATCTTTAAGTATTCAGTATAAATAATTGATCAGCTTGCAGACCAACAATAAAAAAGCTGTAAAACTGGAAATAATTTTGAAAAAGTTAAATATGAGCGCTTTGATTTTCAACATATAAATGAGACAAACTCAAACTTGATCTATATTATATATATATATATATATATATATATATATATATATATATATATATATATATATATATATATATACTGTAAATGTATTACATTTAGCGTGTACGATATTTGGCGGAAATATATTGAATAAGTATGAGCAAATTTGATCGCGCATTTCATCATATTCTTATTTATGTGTATAGGTGATAGCGTTGTAATTTAGCGGTTGTTGCATTCCGCCAAATCCGCTAAAAAGAATGCCAAATGTAATACGTTTACAGTATAATCAATTCATATGTAAATCAATTAAAAATTAAATTCAATACAACATGCACAAGAACAGCATTTTAGTGTTTAATTACTGAATATATGCATCAAAACTTTCAAAGTCTATGGTGAAAATTTTTGGTGGAAATGGATCAGTTGGCATGAAGCTCAAACTTTTTTCCCGGTCATGATCTTGACAAGGAGCACACGGCGGGTGTGACGGGTTGACAGGGGACCATAATCCTCCATGTCACCTGATCCCACCTCTGGTGTTTCAGAGGATCGTGTTTGATTTGTTTGAATGGAGTTTGAGCATGATTACAATTTATAATCTTCACATTTTATTTCTAATTGATAGCTTATTCTATTGTGTGCCTTTGTACCGACCAGGGGTGCTGTACTAATGACTTCAAGCATCGTTACAGATTTTGATTGATCAATTAAATTTTTACTTACTAGTTTTTCAGCTCATTAATTTTTTAAGATTCATTATTTGTCAATATTGCTTTTGAAATAAAGTACATCATAAATTTAAAATGTGGTAAAGAAGTTATTTATTATTTACTTGCCATGTCAAATAATAATTGTGGTAAATTCTACGTATTGTTTTCAGTCTCGAGTGTCAGACATTGATGATTTTCTTTAAGTACAGATGATACAAACAATTTTTTTCTATCATGTCATAGAAAAGTGGATAAAGTGGGAAAAGAAATAGACTTGGAAAATATTAGTAATATTTAAATATAATTACAAATATGGACAAAACACACTCAGAACAGGTTTACAGATGAAAACAAATTTCAGAATATGTTACCTTGGTGCTAAAAGTGTAATTTATTTAAACTTTAGAAAAATATACCAAGCCAGGTGAATTTTATTAAGAAAAGCAAAACGGTAAAAATCAGCCCATGTGTTATTGCTGATTTTTTGTCATTTTGTATTTCCCATAAAATTAATGCGTATATTTTTTAAAATGTTATATTAACACAATGTAATTTGAAGAAAATTTATTTTCACCTGTAAAACTTTACTGAGTGTTATTTGTCTTTATTTGCTTTTAAATATTATAATATTTTCAGTTGACCATTTTTAATTAAAAAAATGCTAAGAATTATCCACTTTTTGTTGTGTTATACATCCAAAGAAAAAAACGTATCCCTGAATTTAATTTATATTTAAAAAGCAGTGGATGGAACATTTATATAACAATTCTAAAAAACTGGGTATATATATTTATGACAGGTACCTTAATGTTAAGTCTAATCTTAGCAATCTCCAAAATAATGCGTTACTTAAAATGTTGTTAACGCAATGTAATTTGAAGAAAATGATGATTCGCTATAGTTCAGCAACCAAGCTTTTAAAATAACTATTTCATGACCATTTTTAATTAAACATAGCGGTAGTTTGTTGGTTATACATAAAACTTAACTCAAAAAAGCAGTGGATGGTTATATAGTGCTTATATAAAAGGAAAAGAACTGGTATATGTATTTTATGTATTAAATACATTACGTTTTCCTTCGACTTTTAACGGGTTCTACAAATTTCAATTACAACCACAACATTAAAATCACGTGATATTGGCGGTCACCTGACCCCCTGACTTTGTCAAAAGTTGAAAGAATTTTTTTTCTTTCCATGTGCGTTAATTTTTATGACAAGAACAGTTCATTTGTCAGAGATTTATCCAACAGAATGGGTGGATAATAACATCCTTTCCAAAAATAAGCAAATAAAACACTCTTTTAATATAAAACCTTTTATCATGTCTAATATGTTTAAAATTAAAGTTACTTTTATTTAATACTTATATCATTGTTCAAATATTCAACTATTTTTCAAAGTGCTAATTGGAGGTCATTGATAATTTGTTAATTTACATACACTTGCTTTCACTGCAAGATATGTATCATTTTTAACCAACTTTTAAAAAAATCAATCATTAATTGAATTTTATAGAACTTTATTTATCTTATAAACTGTGTACAAATTATTTTATGATACTGCAGAGGGATAGGATTACAATAAAAAGGTTTATAGCAACAAATGAGACAACCATTTTTATTCACAATAATCATGACGTCATTTTCACATTATACGTCACAGGACAGAAACTTTATTCAGCATATGCTATTTATAGACCTTGTGTACAAAATTTATCCAATCTGAAAATATAAGATACAAACTTTTTGATCAGTGAGTCGCATTTTTTGTCTATCAAGAAGAATCCATTGTCTGGTTTATCCCAAGGGACTTATCTTAGAATAACTCTTTTCATACCGTATAAGAGATTGCTAATTTTGGTTTAAATCCAATAAAATTTTAATCGCTAAAATAATAGTCAGTACTCTTCTTAGTGTTCAACGGCAAAAATTAATTTTTAAATTCAAAAATTTTATACAAAAGCCAAATACGATATAAAATTTTTAAAAACTTTTAGTTACACTGTTTGATTCATGAATACCCATCTGCATTGAGAAAGTTGTTCATTGCAATTTGTTAATTTCATACAACTGATATGACAAACAACTTTTAAAAATCACTAATAGATATAGATTATACGTATACTATAGGATAAATAAAAGGTTTATAGCAACAAATGAGAAGCATTATTCATAATCATGATCTGATTATAAGACAACCTCGGTAACATGTAAACCATCACATTTTAACACAATTATCCAATCTAAAATTAAGACAAACTAAGTCATACTTTTTTGGCATTTTGAAGGGCACCAGATCTTAAACAATATGTATTCCACCAAATTCAGATTTAATTTTTTTTAAATAAATATTGTGGGAAAATGAAAAAAAAAATCTGTTTCATATTTGAAACTTCAAATCCAAAACTGTAAAATTGAGCTGCGGGAAATTATTTTTACATTACACGAATACGTATTATTAATTAATAAATATTGTTGGAAAATGCTTTTAAAATCTGTTTCATATTTGAAACTTCATGATAAACCTGATGACTTTAATTTTTCTAGCGTCACCTTCCGTTACTAATGTAGCAATATCAGATTGTTTGTCTGTTTCTTTCTTTCCTGAAAAACTTAAACTTTGTCAAGTACTTTTGACTATGTGAAGCTATGATTTTCCTATTTACCATGTAATCCTTGTGACAACACTTCTTGCGGTACAAACATATTTCACCTCAACCTTTGGGTTATACCATGTTTTGCAAAAAGTACCCAACGTTAAACCTTGGAGTTTGATCCACTTTTTAATACTTTTCCCTTGGCTATAACTTTCGAATGGTTAGTACTTGGGTTTTCTTACTTCATAGGTTAACTCATTGAGACAAGTCCTTACTTTGGATAACAACATTTTCGATCTCTTAACCTTGACGTTTGACTTGCATTTGAGAAATATTAACTTTTGTCATAAGCTGTCATACAAGTGGCATCAGTGTTTCACAAAACATCTTGTTTTTCTTTTACTTTATGAAGCTCGGCTGAGGAGGAGATGATGCCGGGTAGGACAGACTACCGGGCCACGATCTACCCCAGCGGCCTGGTGTATTACAACTTCCCCACGGTCCTACAGAGCGCCTGCCTCGTTAACGTTCTCTACTTCCCCATGGACACCCAGATCTGTTCCCTCAAGTTCGGGTCCTGGTCTCACAGCGGGGCGGAGCTAGATCTCTACCCAAGCACGGATCAGGGTAGGCCTATAAGCAAGTAACATAAATATTCGTCAAATTTTTGAAGGTTATAGGACAATGTTTACTGATTTTTAAGTAAAATGCTATGCTTCTATCACTAGAAGTTTTTTGTAAAATGCCACTATGACCGGTAGGTAAATGTCTATACGTGTGCTTTGTCTTCACTGGACACCATTAGTTACTGACTCACTTAACACTCCAAATCTCACTTAATGTCGCTTTAAATGGTAAAGAACTATCTATCCAACTTTTATTCGGATGTTTATCTGCAGTTTGTAGACACTCTTAATTGTCTTGTATGAAATGGTTTAGGTCACATAGAACTTTTTCGTTTATACATATTCCCATATTTATAAAAATTCAACACAATCGGTCCCTAATTCAGTACTGCTTGGCTTTTAACAAACTTACCCCCAAAGCTTCGTTGGAAAATACTAGTATCTTAGGCAGGAATGAATTCACTACCAGAATCAGAATCAGAATTTTTTTAAGAGTCGGATTTTTTACAAGTAACATAAGCTCTGTAGAGCTTTGGACAGACAATATCAATTCAAAAAATAACATATGAATTTATATGATTATCAGATTTTTAAAAGCAAAACCTTGACACTGATATAAGAGAATACCGCATAATTTCTCCATGAAGTGTAAATAATGTTTGTTTATATTTTGGCCATTAGAATGTTTTCGGCTCACATTGATTTTTACATTGAGAGCCTTGGGCAAAATACTAGAAGATAGTTCAAGATCTATCTCAAAAAAATACTCTGATAACGAGATCTGAATCTCAGAGAAATTAAGTGTGAATTGCTGTTTATGTGCTTATATTTAACTGCATGTTCACCATAGCTTATTTGTATTGGTCGTCATTTCCTTTGGCCATTGAAACATTGATACAAGCCAAGAGAGATATTTCTGGAGCATATTTGTATAGCATTTTAGCATTCTTTTTTTCTTATTTTCACTTTGTCTGTTTCATCCAAATATTATTCTATACGAATAAAAAGCATGTCGTTGTCTTACTACAGAGTTTACTACCTGTATGAATTTAATTTTCTCAAGCAACACTTTCAATACGGCTAGAGCGAAAAAAAAGTCAGCCAACCATCTACTCCGTATATGTGAAACTTTCAAACTAGATATGTGACTTTTTAAAAGAGATAATTGTAGTATATGAACCTATGCATAATGTATTGTATAGATGTATACTTCATACTTTACAAACCTGTATAGTGTATAGGTGTATTCACAAATGTAGTAAACCTGTAGTGTGTAGAAATGTAATGCTGTCGGTGTGTTATGTTATTGCTAGACTATCTTGAGCACTTAATTCATTGCAATTCCACAATTTTCTATTGCAATTCACCAGTCCTAATTGTAAATATACCCGATAAAGACAAATACACATTTAAGTAATGAGTAAACTATGACAAGTATCTTCTTTCATCAAGCGAGATCTACTTTTGCTTAACATCATTTTACCAATATTTTCAGCTGATTTAACAAACCTGGTTTTACACAACGAATGGGACGTTGTTTCAATGAATGCAAAAAGAACTGTCCTGTATTACCAATGTTGCCCGGAACCGTACCCTGATATTACATTTTTCCTGGAAATTAAACGGAAGCCCTTGTTTTACATCATGAGTATCTTGTTTCCCTGTATTCTGACGAGTTCGGTGGCGGCCCTTGGATTCCTTCTTCCGCCAGAATCAGGAGAAAAGGTCTCCCTAGAAGTCACCGTGCTGTTGTCTCTGGCCGTGTTCCTTTTGATGGTGACTGATCAACTTCCGGCGTCATCAATCAATTTTCCATACGTGGGTAAGATTCCTGTACCACTGTAAACCATCTAGAGGCCGGTTATGTCTTTTTTCATACATAATTCCAGTATGTATTCTATGATTTGATTTGATTTTCAAGGGTGGCAAAAGAAAAACAAAACTTTTGTGTGCATCGCTTTCCTTCATCTGAAAATTATAAATTGATCTTTTTAATCAAATTTCATCAGAGTTCATCAAACTCTAGTTGTTACACATACATAGTTGGGAACTCTAGCATATAAAGTATTAAATTTTTATAAGTGTATTCACATTTAATATATATCAGAATATTTTATATTTTCAGGTATGTATTTCGTGTCATCAATGGTTCTTGTGTCGTTTTCATGTGCAATGACAGTGTTGGTTTTGAACATTCATTTCCGTGGAGCGACCGGAAATAAACTTCCTGGTTGGATGCGGAAGCTCTTTCTCAGTAGATTGTCTTGGATTGTGTGTGTTAAGACAGGAAAAAGAGCGAATAAAATACACTCGGCGAAAAAAGACTCCAAAAGTCTGGTAATTGAAATTTAAAATTATATTTTTCATCATCATCTCCTTGCAAAATATAGCTAAAGGTAGTTTGCTCTTTATTTAGATCAAAGATATAGATGCATAAAATCAATCCAGTTTTGGAACAATTAAAATTTGTGGGATAATTGTCCATGTGTTGCTTCAAAAATTCTGTTGAAAAAAGATTTTATTTTTACTTTCATTATTTGCACGGTAAATGCTGATTTACCAAAGAACCATAACTATTTTCAATCAAAGAAAACAACAGCATGGCAAAACAAATTTAATTAATGTTTAGTGTGCTTTATTTGTTTCCAGGAGGAACCGAACCAGAATGAATATACTAATAAATCATTCAAATTGGAAAGTGAAGATTCAACAAAAATTCCTACCTCAAATGGAAACGTTGGTCAGCCGCGCTTACTGAGTATTGTGACAAACACTTCGTCACGTGACCTTCTTCTTAGAACAGGTGACCCAATGTTGACAATACTCTCTGAGCAATCAGATACTTTGAAGAAAATAGAGGGTCACATGCAAAAAGATGAATCTGAAGAACAAACGAACAATGAGTGGTATTTGTTTGCCAAAGTTTTGGATAGACTATGTTTGCTTTTATATGTTTTTCTCACTGTTTTAACATCTATCATTTTCTTAACAAAAATGGCAGGATCTTAAATAAGTTATCAACCACATAAATTATATCTGTCTTTATTTTACTTTGATACATGTGATATTAAGTATACACTTATTTTTAAGTATTATCGATTTTTGTTGTATAACGTATTCTTTGAGCAAGTTTGCCATATGTTTCAAGAATCTGTATTTCAAGAAATTTCATATTTCACAGATAAATCAAGCTGTGGAATCAAAGATGAATTAACAAATTGTTCTTAAGGTTGTATATAAAGTGTTTTGTTATACCTTTTAAAACCTGTTATTATATATAAATCTACATATAAAAAGTCATTAAACCGCGGAGTGAGAACCAAATGTTGGATCTGTCAACGAGATATTGGACAGCTTATGTCACAACATGGACAGGAACAGCTAATTCTCATTCGTTGTTGTTCGACAGTAAGGCATTGACCGAGTTTACATTAGAGATTTAAAGGAAATTTACATGGAAAAAGCCAGCACAAGATACATGTATGTCCAAAGAAATTATAAAATAAAAGATGCAGCAAAAAATTAATTGACTGTGTTCTCGGGCAAAATGCGTTTGTCGACCATCGAATCAAGTTTGGTTATGTTTCTTGGGTCTGACAAAACGTATGCTGCCCTCGAACCCAGTAAAGAAATGTGTACTTTTAAATCCATTCCCTGGCAGGCAATGACAAATTAGAAGGTATGTAATGTGTGCAATTTTAATGATTGTCTAATATATGTGTGCTCATTCCCTGGTTGGTTCTCCAGAACAGAGCAAGAGTTTTTAGTGATGTTGAAATCAAGAAATAAGTTGTCTGCAAGTACATATCAAAGTACGTTCAATATATATATTATATACATATATTGTATTTTTGCATTGTAAATCTAATAGAAAGTATGATCTATTTTACAACAGACTATGAAATTATACATGGTATTATTTATGGCGGCATTTTATAAGTTCTCAATTTTTTTTTTACTAAACACCTTGTTTGCTTATATGATTTCACTAAAAGATGGAGAGGGTATTTATAGGCATTGGTGCCTTGCCCAATCTGCATGTTCAGTATTCTGAATAAATATTGTTTAAATCAAAAGATGATGAGAACAGAAATTAAAATTGGCTTTCTTTTTAAGGTAGGATTCTTCTTTGGTTTCTGACTAGATGAAACATTAAAAGAATATTTGCTTATATGTCTTATATATTTAGGTGTAGGGAATTTAAAAGACCATATTTTTCTTTCCTCATCACAATTGTACAACTTTAAATAAAATGGTAAACTGCGTTTGAAAACTAGCAGGGACTATATTTTTGGCGGAATGGTTATGAAATATCTTCTTTTCTGCCTCTCAAAATTATAATAGAACAATGAATTTAGTTATAATTTTTACACAATCGAAGACTTGGAAAAATTTTCAAATGTAAGTTAGATTAACAATGAGGGACTAAACTTTCAAAATATATCAAATAAATATGATTTTTCAAACAAACTAAAACTTTATTAGCATTTAAACGCTTCCTATCAAAGTGCAGATCTCAGCCAAATATCCATAAAAAAGTATTTTTTCTCTCCTAGTAAACGATCAAAACTTTTAGTTTTTGTATCATTTTGTACATTTATAAGACTACTTTATTATATGTGAAAATAAGAAAAAGTTAAATATAGGAAGCATATGAAAATAACTGATATATTCTAAAAAAATTAAGAAAAACAGAGAAAATTCGGATAAGCCAATATCCAGTTAATTTAAATTATTTATGTAAATTTGGTAATATCATGCTATAGACCCGATATAGTAATATGTTTTTATACAAAAAGAACAATCATTAAGTTTTTTGAATTAGAAGTAGGTATCACATGATTGGCAACAGTTATTTTTTATTCTTAATGTCAAGAAAAAAGATAATGACCTTGACCTGACCTTGCCTATAATATAAAACGGTCAAATTTAATTTCACTGATACTATCACTTACTGATACTGTCTTCTTGATTCTGTGAAAATTTCATTAATTTTTAAATATTAGAAATATGAGAAGAATCCTACCTTAAATGGAGAGAGGAAGTGTGAGTGTGTATGTGTTTATATACCTGTATATGTATTGTCATTATACCTGTTTAAGTATTTAATGTCAAAAAAATTAAGTGAAATTGAGATTAAATTTCTTCATGATTTTGTTTTATTTCATGTTTTGTACATTAAAAATTAATACCATTTTGTTTGTTATTTTTTAACCCCAATAATATTACGTACATGTATTGCAATTTTACCTCTTAAGGTATTCAATGTCAAAGAAGAATATTCTTCGTGACTTATTAGCTCACCTTAGCCGAAGGCTCAAGTGAGCATTTTACTTGTTCATCCTTCTGTCTCTCTGTCTGTAAACTTATCACATTTTCAACTTCTCTTCAAGAACCACTAGTCCAATTTTAACCAAACTTGGAACAAAGCATCCATGGTTAAAAGGGGAGTTAAAATTATTAAAACGAAGGGCCAAGTCCCTTCAAAAGGGGAGAGAATAAAAACAAGAGGCCCAGGGGCCACATCGCTCACCTGAGCAATTGGCTAGAAAAAAGCACATATCAGATCAGAACTGAAAGTTTACTGAGGGGGGGGGGGGGAGGGGGCTTGAATTTTAACCGCCCAGGGGGTCATGATACACTACCTGTGGATGATTCCCTATAAATATCACTAAGCATGGCTTTGAACTACTTGAAAATAAGATTTTAAAAAGTTTCCCTATATATTCCTATGTAAAACTTCGATCGGCCATTTGGCCCCACCCTACCCCCGGGGGTCATGATTTGAACAAACTTGAATCTACACTACCTGGGAATGATTCCACAGGAGTTTCATCTTTCCTGTCTCAATGGTTCTTGAGAAGAAGATTTTTCCTTTATATTCCTATGTAAAACTTTGATCGGCCATTTTGGCCCCACCCTACCCCCGGGGGTTATGATTTGAACAAACTTGAATCTACACTACCTGGGAATGATTCCACAGGAGTTTCATCTTTCCAGTCTCAATGGTTCTTGAGAAGAAGATTTTTTCTATATATTCCTATGTAAAACTTTGATCGGCCATTTTGGCCCAAACCCTACCCCCGGGGGTCATGATTTGAACAAACTTGAATCTATACTACCTGAGGATGATGCCACATGTGTTTCATCTTTCCTGGCACAGTGGTTCTTGAGAAGAAGATTTTTAAAGATTTTTCCTATGTATTCCTATGTAAAACTTTGATCGGCCATTTTGGCCCCACCCTACCCCCGGGGGTCATGATTTGAACAAACTTGAATCTATACTACCTGAGGATGATTTTACACGAGTTTCATCTTTCCTGGCCCAGTGGTTCTTGAGAAGAAGATTTTTTAAAAATGCCATTAATTTTTCTCTAATTCATAATTATCTCCCCTTGGAAAAGGGCATGGTCCTTCATTTGAACAAAATTGAATCCCCTTTACCCAAGGATACTTTGTAGCAAGTTTGGTTGAAATTGGCCCAGTGGTTCTTGAGAAGAAGATGAAAATTGAAAAGTTTACAACAACGACAACGACGACAACACCGACAACGACAGACAACGGACAAAATGTGATCAGAAAAGCTCACTTGAGCCTTTGGCTCAGGTGAGCTAAAAAGACAAAAATAGGGTGGGGTCATTAAAAAATCTTCTCAAGAACCACTGAGCGTAAAAAGCTGATACTTACGTGGAAGCATCCTGGGGTAGTGTAAATTCTAAATTGTTCAAATCATTACCCCTCTGGGAAGGACGGGGCCACAATAGGGAATCAAAGTTTTACATAGAAATATATAGGAAAAAACTTCTTCACAAGAACCACTAGGCCAGAAAAGCTGAAACTTATGTGAAAGCATCCTGGGGTAGTGTAAATTCCAAATTGTGCAAATTATGACCCCGGGGGTAGGGTGGGCTACAATAGGGAAGCAAAGTTTTACATAGAAATATATAGGAAAAAACTTTTAGAATCTTCTCAGGAACTACTGGGCCAGAAAAGCTGAAACTTATGTGGAAGCATACTGGGAAAGTGCAAATTCTAAATTGTTCAAATCATAAGCCCCAGGGGTAGGGCGGGGCCACAAAAGGGAATCCAAGTTTTACATTGAAATGCATAGGAAAAATCATTAAAAATCTTCTCAGGAACTACTGGGCCAGAAAAGCTGAAACTTATGTGGAAGAAGGATATGGAAATAACGAACAGTATTCAATCTCAACGTCCATTAAACAATATACAAAATAAGAGCAGAGCAAACACGGACCTCCGAAACATCAGAGGTGGGATCAGGTGCCATGGAGGAGTGAGCATCCCCTGCCGACCGGTCACACCCGCCGTGTGCTCGTTGTCATAATCAGGAAATAACGGAAAAAATCCGTCGTCAATTCAGTGTATAAATAATGGACTAACAATTGGTATGAAAAACGTCAGTCAGCATTTCATTCAATGATAAATTGTATTTGCTGATAAGGTTATTGTATCGACCATAGAATTTACGAAATGATGACTTTAAACGAGACTGTTGATATTCTTGTTTCATCAACTTGCTTGTCAATAATTTACCTCGTTTAAGAAATTGTTCATACGTAGAAAATGCTCTTGCGTATCGAATCAGCTGAGATATATATACTCCGTATGTAGGTGATGAAGGTATATTGCTGCATAAGTAAGGGAAGTTGACGATAGAAAAGTTAAAGTCATCACGTTTATCATATCCTGTGATGGTGTAGATTTTAAATTGTCCAAATTATGACCCATGAGGGTAGGGTGGGGTCACGATATGTATTACAAAGGGGAAATTGGTAAAGAACAGCATGGTCAAAGCTACTCAGATGAGCGATGTGGCCCATGGCCTCTTGTTTCATTTTTTCCATGTTATTTGTTATGTTTAACCCCAATAGCATTTAAATGTCATAATTTAAAGAAGAAAGGAGTCCCAGTCTATGCCTGCTGTCAATTGTGACTACTTTGGAACCAAATCAATCATTTTTTAAAAATATTCCATTTATTTTTATTGTGGGGATATAATACTAACAGATCATTGGGTATGGGTACACTTCTTCATTGTCCATGTATTCCTTATATTTTAGAAATAAAAAATCTAAAATATTTGCTTTCAAATAAAATACAAGGAAGAATCCTTAACGAACTCTCCTAAGACGAGGTCAGAGAGTAAAATTCATGCAGAAGCAGGATGAATTATTAAGAGAACACTGAGGGTCTTTTAGGCTACGGTTCTAATGGTTATCTAGTAGAGGAATCTGTGTTAGCAAACATAGGCAATCACAAGTAAAAGGTGTCATCAACTAACACAAAAAAATTCAAGATCTATTTATCTAAGACGGCAAATATAAGCAATATCGTACATAAAAATAGCGTTAGTAAATTCACAAAATAGTCTGTAAAACAACAAAGAGAATCATTTTAAAAGTTTAGAAATTTAGAAATATAAGAAAAATTAAGAAAGCAAGCATAGACAATTATGAAGCAAAATGAAAAGTATGGTATGTAAGAGAGTATAAGAAACTATTTGAAATCTATATGCAGTAAAAAGTTCTAAAAGTTGCAAAAAGTATAAACAGGTGTTAAGTTGTGTAAAAAGAGCAGGTAGAGATGATAGATTGGGGAAAAGTTAAGTTATCAATAAAAATAAGGCGTAAACAACTGTAAAATTGTACAAGACAGCAAGCATAGACAATCGATGGTTAGATCCTTTCAATTTTACAGAGAAGTGTAAACAGTTGTTGATTTGTGTAAGACAAGACCGAAAACAATCATACGAGAAAGGTTGACTTACAAAAAAGATTATTACAAAAGTTCACAGGTTAGCAGATTGTTGGCTGAAATGAAAGCTGGGACGTTAGGATCTTAGTATGCAGAAAATATCAGTTGATCAAACTTATTTCAGTGGGAACATAAATTATAACACAAAAATCAAAACATTTATTCCAGGTTTCTTGTGTGAATCTGATTTGATGAGGACAACAGTACCGCGTAATATGTCAGTCCCACATAGCTGTAAAAGAGAATAAAGAAAAGAACAATTGTTTATGATGTTTTCTCCAATAATTATACCCTCATAGATTCTTGCTCCCTTCTTATTAGACATAATTGCAGCTCAGAATGAAAGGGATACCTAAATCTTTGACATTTTGCAGGAGTAAAGCCTTAAGAAGTTTAGGCATGTCCTAGGTTAAATGAAAGAACGTTTTCAAATTGAGCACGATTTTTGTCAGATATTAAAGGGGGATTGAAATTTATGTTCTGCATGCTTGACATACAAACATATTTTGAACGCGATAGTTACAATCATTATGAAAAAAGGTAATTGAAATACTGCTTGGAGTCGTCAAATTTCGTAAATAATCAAAATGATGGTTTTTTTTTTAAAGAGGAGCATCATTCACAGTTCTGATAATCTACCAAATTCCAACTCAACATTGTCATGACCATTTATGAAATTTCTCTAATGTCTTTACATTTCTTTTCCGAAAACAAATTGTCACGTGTTAAATAATTATTTATTGATAACAGAACATTACTAACTTATCAAAATAATTATGGTTAGGATACAAAAATATGCCACATGTTGATTAAATTAGTAACAAACGTTACTCACCAAGTTGTGGCGTAACAAATTACATACTATAATATGGGTAATATTATTATTTCTTGTTGAATTCTCCTTAATTTTGATAATGGAAAATTATTTGTTAACATATCATTCTTAATATCAGATTTAATCACATTTTCAAAAACATATACAGAATTATTTACCACATCATTTTAAGTTTCATCACAATATATAATGAAGATAGAAAATTGGTGTTCCAAAAATCAAATGGTGTTAAAAATTAACAAGACAAAATGTATGCTCATGGGAACTCAACAGAGAAAATCAAGAATAAATTCCCCTGAACTAAATTTATATGCGTCAAACAAATTAATTGAAAATGTTGAATCTGAAAAGCTTTTGGGAGTACATATTGATCATTCATTGCGCTTTAATTATCATATTGACTCAGTTTGTAAATCTTTGACTTATAAATTGTATACTTTACGCAGAATTAAGAAGTTTCTTCCCTTACACACGAGAAAAATATTTTATAATGCATACATTCTGCCTTCTTTGAATTATTGTCTTACTATTTGGGGTAATGCGCCAGGTGCTGGCATAGATAGAGTTTTTAAATTGCAAAAAAGGGCAGCCCGGATTATTTTAGATGTAGCTTATGATGCCCCTTCACTACCATTATTTGAAAAACTTGGATGGCTGACCATTTATGAGTTAATTGATTTTCATAAATATGTATTATTGTACAAAACACTTCATGGTATGGCACCAACATATTTAAGAGACTCCTTTGAATTTATTTCCTTTAATAGTTATGTTCTATATTGAAACGAATATGACCTTCATCTACCAAAATATCGAACTAATCAATTTAAAAATTCTTTTCATTATTCTGGAGTTCATTTATGGAACAAATTACCTTTGCATATCCGTTTCTCATCAACTGTACAAACTTTTCGTAAAAATGTAGAAAAATTCATTATAACATGTAGAAACTAAAAGTTATATAATCTCATGTTCTTGAATCAATCTGTATATGTACATGTTTTTTTTTTTTCACGTCACGTTGTATTATTTATTATGATATTGTACGATGTTTTTAATATTGTATTATTGTGAATGTGTTTAGAGGGCCCCGAGGAAGACTAGTGCATTGCACTAATCGGGTTACCCTCTTTAAATAAAGTATTATTATTATTATATTATTATTAATAGTGTAAGAAGTACATTTGCATTTTTTTCTTCTTAATTATTATTACGTAGATGAATAAAATAAAATAATATATTTTTTGTAACATTATTTATCTATGTTTTTAATCTAGAATTTATAGTTGCTAAATTCAAGGAATAACATAAAAACAAACAAAATATTGACAGAAAACTCCGATTTCCTTGCTGAAAAGTCAAAGCAACAGTATGAAAATATGTTGTACAAGTCCTATTTAGTTATTTATTTAATCCTTTTTCTTTATAGCACCTTTTTAGAATAAAATATGCAGGTCTTCCTGAGAAATTTCTTGACAAAGCAAGTTTTTACTTTTCTGCGCATGTTGAAGAAGTATATAAAACAATATAAATCTTGGGAATTTGAGAAATTGATATTCAGAAACATGCTGAGGGTGTGCATCCTTTGTGTTGTTTGTTTGGTTACAGAAGGTAGGAAGAATTTATTTTAATTTCAGATTAGAACTTTTTTTAAAATTCTTCTTAAGTAAATGAAACATCTTTCGAATGCAAACAGGTTTTCTTGAATAGCGAATACATTTTTGAGCATCATATATTAGTTTACATTTTTTCGACCCAGCCAAAGTTTCTACGGTATAAAACATGCAAAAAACACCATACCTCGGGAGAGCATTAACTGAAATATCAAAGACCTACTCAAGGCTTCAAAGGCCTAATAAATCTTTATTTATTAATGTATTATTATAGTCAATTTATACTGAAACAATATACCAGTAGTCTTGAAAAGAGATATCAACCTATGCAAAAGTTCGATTCGTCACTTTGGTATTCGAAATCTTTTTTTTTATGCTTCCATAATGGAAAATTTTGGGCATATAGTTTGGCCCTGTTCTCTTGTCTGTTTGTCCCCCAAAACTTTAATTTTCATTAGGTGTATCTATGGATTTCATATTTCACATTCCTTAAATTGTGACAAGACTTTTATTTGAGAACCATATAAGAACTTTTGACATTGGAGTTTGGTCATCTCTTGCAAAATTTTAACCACTGAGTAACTCTGACTTTAACATTTGAATGGTTAGTACTAGGCCTTTCATTTTTGACCATGACGTATGATTTACTTTTTAAGAACTTTAACATTCGTCATAACTTTTTTACGGTTGGAGCTTTCAAATTTCTCATTTATATTTCTTGAGACAAGACTTTGGATACCAATTTTTTTATCTTATGACCTTGATCTTGGAGGTTTTCTTGAATTTGAGAAACTTTGCTACAAGCTGCCATACGGGCAATCAGTATTCACAAATACAACTTATTTTAACATGTTAAAAAATGTCATACTCGACATCATAAAATAGCTTTAGAAATAATTTCAAACTAGTCTGGGTCATCAACAAAAATTTCTCAAAACAATAAAAATAATCAGGCCAGTGGAGGGGAGGGAATGGGTTACAGGCGGTCTCCATTTTTTCTGAGATTAGGATTTTTGCAGTAGTTTTGAGTGCCTGTGACAAGGTTAGTTTAAACTGACGATTTGTGTATATTACGATTTACGCAGGAACCTTTACTAACAAGACGGTGGCCACCAGTCAGCTCGTGAGAGACCTACTGAAGGACTATGACCCCCGACTGCTGCCCGTCAGAAAAGCTCAGGACAAAGTCTCCATTCTCATCAACACAGCCCTCCGTCAGCTCATAAAACTGGTACATTGTACATAAAATGACATTCAACTAATAAAACTGGTACATTGTACATAAAATGACAGTTAATAATTTGTGAAAGTTTTTTGGTAATCTGTAATCTTAAAAATAAGATTTTGCCCCGTTACAAGGTATTCTAGTCATAAAAGATTATGGGGAAATATATTTTAAAAGTGTTAATTTTTATATTTCAGGACGAAAAGAATCAGATAATATCGTTAAATGTTTGGATGCGCCTAGTAAGTATAGAAGAAAAATTCTGTAAATCAATTTTATCATAATTGATACAAATATCGTCCACTGACGTGTCTGTGATTTTGTTATGTATAGTGGTGGAACGACCCCCGCCTGGTCTGGAACACCAGTGACTACGGGGGAGAGAATCAGATCGTGCTGCCGTTCAAAGACTTGTGGACACCAGATGTAACTATTTTTGATAGGTGTGTTGACGAAAAGTATAATTTTAAGTTCCTGGGGAAAAAAAATGCGGAGACCGCACAACTTTCAACTTATTTTTACATTGCAAATAACTCGTATATAAATTAAGAATTATATCAGTTGACGATCAAAATATTGCAGAAATAAATGTTCTATAAACTCTCGTAGGTAGATATGTTCAATTATTCTGATACTGCTACCCTTTGTTTTTATATTTCTTAGAAGCAATGCCCAAAGATGGTTTATAAATTGTTTTACCTTTTTTTCTTTTAATGGAAAATGAAAACCATAGCACTTACTTCCATGTTCTGCATAAATTAAATTTAAATGAAGTTTTAACAAGACTGTTTAAAAATAATTTAAAATTTAATTTAAAAAAACGATGTTACCATTTAGCAGCATATGGCAAAGGCGAAAGTTTATCAAATTCAAGTTAAGGACAGAAAAAACAAAAATGTTGGAGTATATCACTGAAAAAAAACCTGTAAATTATGAAATCCCAAAATCAACTGTTTAAAAAAAATTGAGCCAAGGTTAAATATTTTAAAAAGTGAGCCAAACTCAAAGGTCATGGTCAAAGGGTCAAAATCATATGTACCCAGTGAAATGTCACTAGAAATACACGTATGAAATATAAGAGCTCTGACATCAACTGTTCAAAAGTCACGGCCAAGGTAAATGTTTATTAGAATTGACCAAACTCCAAGATCAAGGTTAACATGTTTGACATCCAAAGGAAGGTTTGTCACAAGGAATATACTTAAATAATATAAAAAGCCCTATAACAGGGTTTTTTCACAATAATAGCCATATGCAGACTGATAGCCCTATCCATCATACCAACTGTACAAAAAGAATAAAATCTGATATTTTTTTGCAATAGTGGCTCAAAATTCAAGGTCCAGAGGACAAATATATTCATATCCAAAGAAAGGTCTTACCACAAGAATACACATGTGAAATATAAAAGTCATAGCTCCAACCAATCAAAAGTTATGAGTTATGGGAAAGGTTAAAGATTTTGCAGACAAACAGACAGCTAGACAGACCAGACGGAAAACTGGGCAAAACTAGATACCCGAATCTTCGATCATGGGGACATAAAAATACAAAATATTAGACTGGATATGGATAGCCTCTGTAGCCTGTCCAATACACTTTCTGAATCAATAAAAAGGTTCGTGAAACACTCGTGTCCTTATTTTTAACAGCTTATAGCATTAATGTTTCAAATGCAAGTCAAACTCTAAGCTCGAGAGATAAAAAAAACTGTTGTCACCCAAAGAAAAGATTGAATCCATGAATATACTTGTGAAAATGAAAAACACAAGTACCAATCACAGGCACCTGACGTCACTTATTTTTCTTAAACATAAAAGAAATAACCCCATACTTACTAATAATACATGAGTACATGTATTACAACCTGTTCATTAGGTGTGGTGCCATTTTTTTGTAAAAGAAAAATAAATACTAGTAACGTCAGGTGCCTTTGGTACCAATCGTTTTAATGTTGTGCCCAGAGTTAAAGTCACTAAAAAGGGCATCAGACTCCAAGGTTAGGGCCAAAGAGTTAAACGTAATAAAACCCAGAGAAGGTCTATTCACGAGAAATATGCATGCGAATTCTAAAGCCCCAGCGTCAACTGTTCATATAAGTTATTGGCAAAGCAAAAAAATTCTTCAAAAGTATGTCAATCTCCAACGTCAAGGTAAAAGATAAGAATTTTTTGTATCTCGAAAGAAATTCTTGTCAAAAAGAATACCCCGTGAAATGAAAAAGCCTTAGAACTTTGCACATATTGTAAAATGTGAAAATTAAAGCTCCGACCAATGTTATAAACCTTGGTAAAGTTTTTGCAGAAAAAAAAACATCAAAAGAGGTCTGTTTTTCTGGACAAAAACTTTAGGCAAAAAAAATGGCTTTATGACCTTTCTTTGAGTATGAGTATTTTGATCTTGGACAAATACGTCAAGATTTGTAGTTATTATTTTCTCTATAATATTACGACTTATATATTTTAATAGCATTTCACATAAAAATTAATTAAAAATCATGTTTCATATAAAAGATATTAAAATTTCAATTTTTTGGCGGGTTTGATTGACACATCCTTGCTCTTTCACAAATTAATTCTATTCTTAATCCTTAGGAAAAGTGGCATTCTCGTTGTGTATAAATGAAAAATATTAATACTATAATCCAGAAAATTCATAGTAGATATGTTCGAAAGCAAAACAAACACACAATACAAGCAGTTTTTACCATTGCCGGTGAATTGTAAACATCAACAATTTGACCTGTTTACAAAAACTGTACATAACAAGAATGTGTACGCAACTTTTACTTGTGAAGGAGGTTTGCTTTCTGACATTTCTACTCTGAATAAAATTATTTTTCTGGATAAAAGTTTTAATATTTCTGATTAATACATAACAAGAATGCAACTTTTCCTAAGGATTAAGAATAAGGTTAAAACTTGTGAAAGTGCAAGGATGTGTCAATCAAACCGGCCAAAAAAGTTTTAATAACTTTTAAATGAAATAAGATTTTTAATTAATTTTTGTGTGAAATGCAATTAAAATATGTAAGTCGTAATATTATAGAGAAAATATCGACTTCAAATCTGTGTCCAAGTACCCTTAAACCGTTTGTATTCATGTGACAAGATTTTCCTTGAATATAAAGATTTTTTGATCTTAGAGTTTGATCCGCTTTTAAAAACCCTTTAAATCTTGGTATTAACTATGACCTTCCTTTGGATATCACCACCAATTTTGACTTTGATCTTGGAGTTTGACCTATTTTTGATAAACTTTAAACCTAGGCCATTACTCACAGTACCTTTGAATAGCCTGTAATTAGCTTTTAATGACTCAAATGTTATAGTTCTTGAGACAGGTCCTTCCGAGGGTATCTCTGATTTTGATCTCTTGACCTTGACCTTTGAGTTTTACCCACTTTTTAAAAATATTTACCTTGGCCATACTTTTTGCAAGGTAAATTCACGTGTATTTTAAGTAACACACGTCCTTTCGTCGGAAAACAACATTTTTTTTTATATTTTGACCTTGACCCTGGAGATAAACTTGCATTTTAGGAACTTTTACCTTTGCCATAGGCTGACATATGGGTCATCAGTGTTTCACAGACATATCTTATTATCTTCGATTCATATATTTCATATTGTTATAGTTGAATTGCAATCAAACTAACTTTTATTTTATAAGCGCATCTGAAACGATGATGCCGGGTCGCCGAGAGTACCGCCCCATAGTACTCAATAACGGGACAGTGATTTACCTTTTCCCTACAATAGTGGACAGTATCTGTGTCATTGATGTGTTGTACTTCCCCATGGATACCCAAGAATGTCGCCTCATGTTTGGGTCCTGGTCTCACTCCGGAAAAGAAATCGACTTCTTCCCTAAAATTCCAACAGGTAATTGAGACTAACGTGAATATATTAGGTTAGGCCAGACTGCTGCCTCCCAAAAAGAACATTTTCAATCAATATTTACTACATTGCTATCAATATTTTTTTTTTTGAATAATACAAACATAGAGGATTTCATAATGCATTTGTATGTAATTATCAAATAAAAAGTAAGTGGCGTTTAACACTCTGATTCAATTAAAACTCACCATATACATACCTTCCTTGATGACATTTATATTTATATTATAAAACCCTAATTCAGATGAATGGGTGACATGTCTTCTGTCATTGTAGGTGACATGGATTTCTTTATCACTAATAATGAGTGGACTGTCTTGTCCTTTAACGCCAGGAGAAACGTGGCATACTACAAATGTTGTCCGGATCCGTTCCCGGATGTGACGTTTTACTTAAGGATCCGCCGTAAACCCCTCTTCTACATTCTATCAGTCCTCTTTCCCTGTATTCTGACGTCATCAGTGGCCATATTAGCCTTTCTGCTGCCCCCGGACTCCGGTGAAAAGGTTTCCCTGAACGTAACAGTCCTCCTGTCTCTGGCGGTTTTTCTTCTGATGGTCAGTGATCAGCTTCCTGCTTCATCAGACCATTTTCCATACGTAGGTGAGCACAAACGTTTGTGAAATATAAATGTACCCCAATTTGATTCGGGTTTATGGGGTCAATTTCATTTGTCCTCGAAGCTCATTGAATGAAGTTGAGTCAGAATTATTGAGAAATTTCTAGGTAGAACACTATTGAGTAAGTTTTCTACATACGCACCTATAAGTTTTAGCGTCCATTGTTGAAAAAATAAACTTTTAGTATATACTGTGAATACGATCAACTTTTTACAAAGACAGGTTATTGACGAATATAAATTCATCTTGATGACTTTGATTTATAAGAATATATCTATATTTGATTTATTTACCAGGCATGTATTTTGCGTGCTCCATGTTTCTCGTGTCCCTTTCCTTGTTGATGACGGTGTGCGTGCTGAACATGCATTTTCGAGCCCCGGGGGACGGGAAAGCTCCTTCATGGATGCACCCGGTATTCCTCCATTTTGGCAGACGATTTCTTCTTTGCCAATCTGAGAACAAAGTCCAGCCTTGTAAACAGAGACAATTGTCAAACATCAGATTGCAGGTTATCAACCGATCAGATTCATATGCTAGCACTAGTAATCAAGAATAAACTTCAAAATTACTTGCATTTGTTTAGAATGGCTTATTTTATTACATATGTCTTTTTTTTCATAGAATATTGGAAGATATTCCGAAGATCAGAATTTCAGATCCCCAATGTACAACATATCAACCATTGGACTAGAAGACGACGCAAGGAAATCCTACATTTCGCTCAATTTCACAAATTCTCACAAAGATCTCGCACAGACCGAGAACTCGAGTGTCTGTGACGAACCCGGGTTATCAGAGGGTCGCCTTAACGAATGGCAGGAGATTGCCATGGTGATGGACCGGTTGTTTCTGATCTTGTTCATCTTAATCACACTTATCACCTCTGTCGTGTTTCTTGGACTGATGGGCAATGAATGAATGATGGTTATCAACGTATTTTTATTGATAAAATCTAGATGTTGTATGTGTATAATTATACCCCCGCTTGAAAAGTGGGAGGGTATACTGTAATCGGTATGTCCGTCCGTACGTCCGCCGTTACGCTTTGGGTACCCATCTCTTATCCGCAACTCCTCTTAAACCAGTGAGTGAAATTCAGTGAAACTTTCACAGAATCTTTATTACATATTGCCATTGTGCACCTCCTATTTTATTTTTTGATCTGACAAATATTTTGAGTTTCCTGACCAATGAAAAACATGGACTTTGTCATTATAATCATATGGGAGGCGGGGGTTTCATTTAGTGAGCTCATTGCTCACAGTACATCTAGTATTCGCATTGCATTAGTGGTTGACTTTGTAATTATCTTTCAATTGTAAAACTAGCAGGCAATATTTTTTTCATTTAAAACACTTATGTGAACAAAATTGTTAATGGTCAACATATTTGACCTTGAATGTTAAATCATCTACTAATTTAAAAATCAGCTTGAGTCTATTGCTGTTGTCATACTGTACAAAAGTTTTGTATTTTAACTTAACTGTAACATTCATAGTTTTTGAGCTAAATTTCCACTTATTTGATGTTCTGTGCATTTACTGTCCCGTATGACAATAAATATGAAAACATATTGTGAAGGAATCTTGCTGTTGTACAAAGTTTCAGGAAGTTCACATATGAATGTTCGAAGTCTTGAATAACAAAAGTAAAGCCTGGAGAAGAAAGGTTTTCATTTGTCTCGAATAAGAGGAGTAAAGTTTGCAGAAAGGACTGTCTGGAGAAAGAAGAATAAAACTTGAAGTGGATTTGTCTCAAATCGAGAATCTACACTGACCCAAGATGCATTCAAGTACGTTTCAGCTTTTCAGGCCCAGTGGTTCTTGAGAAGATTTTTGAATTTGTTTCCTATATATTTCTATGTAAAACTTGGATTCCCTATTGTAGCCCCGCCCAACCCCCAAGGGGCATGATTTGAACAATTTAGAATTTACACTTCCGCAGGATGTTCTTGCCCAGTGGTTCTTTAATGGCCCCACCCTATTTTGTATTTTCTTGATTATCTCCCAATGTGAGGGGACTTGGCCCTTCATTTTTACAATTTAAACTCCCCTTCACCCAAGAATGCTTTACACCAAGTTTGGTATAAATTGGCCAAGTGGTTCTTCATCAGAAATCGAAAATGTGAAAAGTTTACAGATGGACGGACAGACAAACAGACAGACGGGCGGACGACGGAGAAAAGACTTGGAAGTGGAATTGTCTGAAATAAGAGAAGAAAAGCTTGAATTGCAATTGTCTGAAATAAGAGAATAAAGCTTCAATAAAACATATGGAGATAACGAACAGAATTCAAGATCAAAAGTCCATCAAAAAAATACAAAATAGAAGCAGAGCAAACACGAACCTCCAAAACATCAGAGGTGGGATCAGGTGCCATTGAGAAAGAATGCATCCCCTGCTGACCGGTCACACCCGCTGTGTGCTCCTTGTCATTATCAGAAATAACAAAAAACTGAAATAAGAGAAGTAAAGTTTGAAGAGAAATTGTCTGAAATAAAAAAGAAAAGTTAGTGGAGAATTGAGGGATTGTCTGGAATAAGAGAAGTTAAGCTTGCATTTGGTGGAAGAATATTTTGGAATAAGAGGAGTAATGACAGGAGATGAGATTGTTTGGAGAAAAGAAGTGAAGCCTGGAGTTTCTTGGATATGACGAGTGAAGCCTACAGGATGGACTGTTAGGAATTGGAAAGGTAAAGTCTAATGAAGGAATTATTTGAAAATAAAGAAAAAACTTGAGAAGGGATTTCTAAACTAGACAAGCAAAATTTGAAGTGGAATTGTCTGAAATAAGAGAAGAAAAGCTTGAAGTGGATTTGTCTGAAATAAGAGAAGTAATGCTTGAAGTGGAATTGTCAGAAATAAGAGAAGTAAAGCTTGAAGTGGAATTGTCTGAAATAAAAGGGTAAAACTTGAAGTGGAATTGTCTGAAATAAGAAATGTTAAACTTGAATGAAAGACATGGAGATAACGAACAGTATTCAAGATCAAAAGTCCATAAAAAATACAAAATAGGAGCAGAGCAAACACGGACTTCCAAGATATCAAAGGTGGGATCAGTTCCATGGAGGAGTAAGCATCCCCTGCTGACCGTCCACATCCGCCGTGTGCTCCTTGTCATGATCGGAAATAACAAATAAATTCCGTTGTCAATTCAATGTATCAATAATGGACTAAGTGGAATTGTCTGAAATACTAGTAAGAGAAGTGAAGCTTGAGGTAGAATTGTCTGAAATAAGAGAAGTAAACTTGAAGTGGAATTGTCTGAAATAATAGAAGTAAAGCTTGAACAGGAATTGTCTGAAATAAGAGAAGTTAAGCTTGAATTGGAATTGTCTGAAATAAGAGAAGTTAAGCTTGAAGTAGAATTGTCTGAAATAAGAGAGGTAAAGGTTGAAGTGGAATTGTCTGAAATAAGAAAAGAAAAGTTTTAAGTGGAATTGTCTGAAATAAGAGAAAGTCAAGCTTGAAGTGCAATTGTCTGAAATAAGAATAGAAAAGTTTGAAGTGGAATTGTCTAAAATAAAAAAAGAAAAGTTAGTGGAAAATTGAGGGACTGTCTGGAATAAGAGAAGTTAAGCTTACAATTGGTGTAAGAATGTTTTGGAATAAGAGGGTAATGACTGGAGATGAGATTGTCTGAGGAAAGAAGTGAAGCCTGGAGTTTCTTGGATATGACGAGTGAAGCCTACAGGATGGACTGTTAGGAATTGGAAAGGTAAAGTCTAATGAAGGAATTACTTGAAAATAAAGAAAAAAAAACTTGAGAAGGAATTTCTAAACTAGACAAGCAAAACTTGAAGTGGACTTGTCTGAAATAAGAAAAGTAAAGCTCGAAGTGGAATTGTCTGAAATAAGAGAAGAAAAGCTTGAAGTGGAATTGTCTGAAATAAGAGAAGTAAATCTCGAAGTGGAATTGTCTGAAATAAGAGAAGAAAAGCTTGAAGTGGACTTGTCTGAAATAAGAGAAGAAAAGCTTGAAGTGGACTTGTCTGAAATAAGAGAAGTAAAGCTTGAAGTGGAATTGTCTGAAATACATGTACCGGGTAAGAGAAAGTAACGCTTAAAATGGAATTGTCTGAAATAAGAGAAGTAACGTTTGAAGAGAAATTGTCTGAAATAAAAAAAGAAAAGTTAGTGGAGAATTGAGGGATTGTCTGGAATAAGAGAAGTTAAGCTTGCATTTGGTGCAAGAATGTTTTGGAATAAGAGGAGTAATTACTGGAGATGAGATTGTCTGAAGAAAAGAAGTGAAGCCTGGAGTTTCTGGGATATGACGAGTGAAGCCTACAGGATGGACTGTTAGGAATTGGAAAGGTAAAGTCTAATGGAGGAATTATTTGAAAATAAAGAAAAACTTGAGAAGGGATTTCTAAACTAGATAGGCAAAAATTGAAGTGGAATTGTCTGAAATAAGAGAAGAAAAGCTTGAAGTGGGCTTGTCTGAAATAACAGAAGTAAAGCTTGAAGTGGAATTGTCAGAAATAAGAGAAGTAAAGCTTGAAGTGGAATTGACTGAAATAAGAGAGTAAAACGAACTGAAATTGTCTGAAATAAGAGAAGTAAAGCTTGAATGAAAGACATGGAGATAACAAACAGTATTCAAGATCAAATGTCCATAAAACTATACAAAAGGGAACAGAGCAAACACGTACAGACCTCCAAAACATCAGAGGTGGGACCAGGTGCCATGAATGAGAAACCACCCCCTGCTGACCAGTCACATTTGCCGTGTGCTCCTTGTCATGATCGGAAATAACGGAAAAATCCGTCGCCAATTCAGTTTTTAACTAATGCAAAAAGTCATTAAGTGTATTTGTCTGAAATACTAGTAAGAGAAGAAAAACTTTAAGTAGAATTGTGTGAAATAAGAGAAGAAAGCTTGAAGTACAATTGTCTGAAATATTAGTAAAAGAAGTAAAACCTGAGGGGAAATTGTTTGAAATAAGAGAAAAAAAGCTTGAAGTTGGATTGTCTAAAATAAGAGAAGAAAAGCTTGAAGTGGAATTGCCTGAAGTAAGAGAATTAAGGCTTGAAATGGAGTTGTCTGAAATATGAGAAATAAAACTTGAAATGGAATTGTCTGAAAAGTTAGGTCGAGGAGGCTTGGGGATTGCCTGGAATAAGAGAAGTTAAGCTTGCATTTGGTGATTTTTGGAATAAGAGGAGTAATTACTGGAGGTAATATTGTCTGGAATAAGAGTAGTTAAGCTTGCATTTGGTGATTTTTGGAATAAGAGGAGTAATTACTGGAGGTAATATTGTCTGGAATAAGAGTAGTTAAGCTTGCATTTGGTGATTTTTGGAATAAGAGGAGTAATTACTGGAGGTAATATTGTCTGGAATAAGAGTAGTTAAGCTTGCATTTGGTGATTTTTGGAATAAGAGGAGTAATTACTGATTTTTGGAATAAGAGGAGTAATTACTGGAGGTAATATTGTCTGGAATAAGAGTAGTTAAGCTTGCATTTGGTGATTTTTGGAATAAGAGGAGTAATTACTGGAGGTAATATTGTCTGGAATAAGAGTAGTTAAGCTTGCATTTGGTGATTTTTGGAATAAGAGGAGTAATTACTGGAGGTAATATTGTCTGGAATAAGAGTAGTTAAGCTTGCATTTGGTGATTTTTGGAATAAGAGGAGTAATTACTGGAGGTAATATTGTCTGGAATAAGAGTAGTTAAGCTTGCATTGGGTGATTTTTGGAATAAGAGGAGTAATTACTGGAGGTAATATTGTCTGGAATAAGAGTAGTTAAGCTTGCATTTGGTGATTTTTGGAATAAGAGGAGTAATTACTGGAGGTAATATTGTCTGGAATAAGAGTAGTTAATTAAGCTTGCATTTGGTGATTTTTGGAATAAGAGGAGTAATTACTGGAGGTAATATTGTCTGGAATAAGAGTAGTTAAGCTTGCATTTGGTGATTTTTGGAATAAGAGGAGTAATTACTGGAGGTAATATTGTCTGGAAAAAGGTGGTGAAGCCTGGAAGAGAAATTTATGGGATATGAGGAGTTAGGCCTAAAGGAGGGTCTGTTTGGACTCGGAGGTGTAAAGCCTGATGAAGGAATTATTTAAAAAAAAGGAAAAAAAAAACTATGAAAGTAGATTCTGTGGATTCGTTTTAAATTGTGGAGGGTCGACGTTCGTGGTGAAGCAAATCTTACTCGTTAGTGGGAAAGTAATTTCGTCGGTAACTTGTTTATGTGGTAGATTCAATATTTAGAAAATTAAACGTTTGTAGAGGTGTAAATTTGAGGGTAAGGATGAGCCAAGAAATTCATGAACGTTGGTCCCTCACGAACAATGCTGATTCTACAGTAAAACCTTGAGAAGGGGTTCTCTGGAATAGAAGACGAAAGCTTAGAAAAGATTTCCAAAAGAATGTTGTAAAACCCGGTTGAGAGCTTGTAAGGAATTAGACAGACAAGTAAAGTCTGGTGAATGGATCCTCTGGAACAAGGAGAGCTAAGCATGGGGAGAAATTGTATGTGTTACATTAAAGTTTTAAAAACTTAAATGTAGCATATAGAATAAGATGGGTAAAGCAAGGAAGAGTCATATAGAAAAAGTGGTAAGGCTGAAGAATGATTTTCTGAAATAGAAAGATGGATGCCCAGAGGACTGTCTAAAATAGGAGGGTTTAAGCCAAAAATACTGCTTTTGGAATACGAGATTTGGGCTTTAACAAGGGATTGAATGGATCAAGAGAATTAGAGGATTAAATCCTAGAGAAATTTTTGGAAAAAGAGCCTAGACAAGGAATTGAATGGAATACGAGGCAAAAGGCCAGTCAAACATTGTACTTTATGATAGATTTGTATTTACTGACAGGGTCATTTTATCCGTAGAATTAGAGAAATGTTGATCTTTAACAAGACTGTTGATATTCTTCTTTCATCAACTTATTTGCCTGTAGCTTGCCATATCCAGATAATGTACAGCTTGTTCAACCTATGGACAAAGAGGCCGCAGAACGAGAAAACAAATTTCTCTTGTCTATATGTATGCACTGCTAGAAATCAGAGTGTAGACTCTTCAAACAAGATCTATTCAACACAGAGGGAGGTGGGTTTGCCTGAATGTTTTTTTAAGAGGCAGAGCACATGAGATGCTTTAGGCCTTCAGTGGATGCATTGTACTGTATATCCATTTTTTTTCGCGTGTTGGAAATTTTGAAAAAAAGGGGTAGATTTAAGTACAGTTTTTACTCTGCGTAAGTTATTTTTTACGATTAATAATTTTTTTGTTTCAAAAAGTAATGTTTTTATGTCACATTATAGCTGACATAATTTCTGCGTGTTTTATATTTTGCGAATTAAAAATGGTCACAAAAAATGAAAATATTTTATTTAATAAATGGATATACAGTAATTACAATAAAAGTTCTTCTCAATTTAAATAAAAGACTCATTAAATTAATTGTAGTCACAGAAAAGATCTTGTAATTATGAGGAAACAATCTTCTATTTATGAAATAATTTTCTCTCATATTGGTAGACAATACAACAAGATGGACATTTGATCCTCCTGCAAGTACGTCCCCACGCTCCTTATGTTACATGGCCCAAAGTCAAAGGTGTACCATGAGTAAGCATAAGACACTCCTTCATCAAATGATCACTTGAGCCGTTGGCTTGGCTAAAAAGCTGTTAACAATACAACTAAAAATGAAAATATTTTATTTAATAACTGGTTACAATAGTCATACATATAAAAATCTGCAAACTGAATAAAAATAAATATGTATATTTCTACATAAGAATGTTACATTCACTGAAAGTAAGAATAATTGTAGTCACATGACATCATAAATTTATAATACTCGTAATCTCAATCTACCACAGGATTTCTGGAGGGAGATATGGCAACAATGAGGATATTAAAGTTACAGAATGAATCATTTTCTTACATAAACGCTGTGCCACCATTCTGGGCTTTGAAAAGTCCTCATGCTACTTCAATATCTTTAAGCAAAGTATACAATCAAAAATGTCTTTGCTTTGGCAGTCAAGTATAAGTAATTTGCAATGAAAGGGGATGATTGTTAATAAAAAAGAAGAAATCTCTGAAGATCACTCTGTTTTTGCAACAACTTATTTTTACAAGTTGGGTATTTATGAGAAAAACAATTTTTTTTTCAAATTTTGGTTACTGCTCTTTAAAATCTTTTATAGTATTAGTATATGCTAGAATGAAATTTTGCCAGAAGAAGGTTTCAAGTAATTAAGCAAAAGATAAAGTTCTCACACATAAAAAGTGATTAAAAACATTTTGTAGATAGTTGTATTTGGCAAATTGTTAATGTATTAATATTCATAAGAAAGGGGGGTAAGGGGTAATACATGTAAGTGTTAAGGAAGAACAATAATCTTATAACTTTGGCCACAGCCTTCAAGATTTATGAAAGGACAACTTATTTAATATTGCAGTACTCTTGGAGTACATATACTAGTTTGTTCAATAAACACATTTTCACAACTTCTCAGATATTGGGAATTAAAAGATAACATGATGTAATCTAACTTATAAGCTTTCAAGTGAACACAGATTTTGACAAACATAAACAGTGGATTATATTTAAAAGATCTCTCACAATGTAACCTACTACCACGTTCATTAATATATAATATTAACGAGATCTGACAACATCACAAATAGGCATACACACAATCTATCACTCCATCAATCATTCTTTTTGTCCTCAGCTGACTTCTCAGTTTGATTATCGGAGTCCTCTGCTTTTGATGGCTCTATGCTAGCTTGCTGGGACACTGTTTCTGATTGGTCAGTTTTGATCTGGCCGTTCTGGTCAAACATTTCCTGACTAGTACCAAACTCGTTAAGGCGAGTTGGATCGATTGGATAGATCCATCGCTGATAAAGGAAGATGAAAAATACAACATCTGGAAAGAAAAATGTAAGGATTGAATTTTTACTTGTACAGCACATATGCAATTACACTCGCAATCAGGGCTATAAACCCAAAACCACAAATAAAATATGAAATCTTTTCTGAATAGTAATTCTTCATTACTTTGAAAGAATTACATCAAACATAAAATTTCATAAAAACCTTTCAGTATGCAAAACTGTTTTTCAACTTTAAATTGTATCTTTCTTACCATCTCTAAAACATCCTATCCTGTATAGCGTAGGCATCTTGATGACAAATGCAAATATATCGTCTATAAAGGTGTTGAGAGCTTTGTATGTCATCATCCTCCAAGGAAGATGGGCGACAGACTTCAGCTTATAATTGATAAACAGCTGAGGGGTCATCATTATAAAACCTGAAAAGGATACCCTTTAAGTAAAATACATGTATGATAAAGAACTGCTTTACAGAAAAATACAAACAGTGCTTCTTTAATATTTTCATATTTTATAAAATATCAATTTGTATTGCAGAACTGAACATAAAAGAGTTAAAAACATCCAATTATTGTAATATGTTATGTTATCTAAAGTTTATTCTATAATTAATAAAATATTGCATATTTGTACCACATACCAAAAGTTAAAAGGAATCCGTATATCATGTTAAGCACCCAAGAGTACCAGCTCTTGTGTTCCAGATAAAGCAGCGAGTATACAGCATATCCAATCAACAAAGGGAACAGCAACCAGGATAAGTACTTAAACGCCATCTAGCAACCAGTACAAACATGAGGATTAAAAAACTTACTGGGACAGGGTACTAGTTTATATATCAGTTAAAACTACAAAATAACTTTTTCTACAGATTCATGTTATGTATACTTTAATTTCTTACCATATCATATTTTTTGGTGTTAGATTCTGTATAAGTAGATTTGTCTTCATAAGTCAGGCGAGGTATAACTCCGAACCATGGATTCTCTCTATCAAGCTGAAATAGTTAAATGTTTTGATTTTTACAACTGTAGTGATGAACGATATAATTACGATCTAGCACAATATTATTCCTTAATGTACATCATATAAAATGTAGAAATTACAGATAGCTTATTTAATCCCAGACCTTTTGGAGTCCAAAATTTAATACAGCCTGTGAGATAAAAGGTACGAAATTCTGGTGAGTTATCAACAAAAAGATTGTAACTCACTGTCATTTATTTATTATTCATTCATTGTATTTATTTATAAGTTCAAATACTAACACAACTAAGGGCAAATTTTGTCCCCTTGAAATACAAGGAGAAAATGGTAACCTTACCATCTAACACAAAATTATCCCTTCAGTTTTATTCATACCAACACTGTTGTCAGAACTTTTTTTTTGCAAAGCCAGAATGAGTTGAGACTAGTATCTTCAATTCTTTTGACATTATACAAGGAATATACAGTTGTACTCCTGAGAAAAGTCTGCCTACCTTGACAGTAACTACTTTGGTGATCTTCCAGATTTCAATCAGGAGTCCAATGGAGACGCTTATTTTTACCATAAAGTTGGTTTCATTATCCAAAACATACAGAACCACAATCAGGGACTGGAAGACATTGAAAAAGACAGAACGGACAGACAGACCCTCCAATGACTTACGGTTCTTCCAGAACTGTATGTCTGAAAAAATAACAACACACCTTAAAATTTTGTCAGCACTACCCATAAACTTCAAGCAACAGTTAATCCCCCTTCATCATATTTTATTTCATCTTTTTTCTGCTAAGTTCAAATAAATTTCAAATTACCATTTTTGAATGCCAAGAATTCAAATACACTGTGGACAATGGATATAATAACAGTCAAGGCCAATAAATAGGGATTAGTCTCCATCACCGTAGTCTGTAAAAAAAGGTAGAAACAATCTTAAAATAAGGATAATCCTGAAAAATATATTAATCGAAATAGTATATATGTATTTTAAATACTGTATACAGGGTTATTTTCGCCCTTTCACACTTGCAAACAATTTCGCCCAGTTTTATATTCGCCCACTCACAGTTTTGCTTAAGAAATTACACTGTGTTCTTTGGATTCGCCCCATTTTAAATTTCGCCCAACAGAGGTTAAGGCAAAAGGGGCGAAAATAAAATGGGGAGGGGGGTGAAAATTTCCCTGTATACAGTATCCTTGATACACTATATTTTATCTAAACAAGCATCTGAACCAATATTATCATACAAAATTTAACTCTGTATCACATAAAACTAGTCTTTGTTTAGCACTACATGTATTTTTATACAAACTTAATAATCTCCTGTTTCTACCTTAAGGCTGTCCTGGTCTTCGTCTGACTCCTCCATGAAGTCGGCTCCCAGCATTCCATACCATTTATTTCTCATCCCCTGAGCAGCATACATCTGCCACTTAAACAAGGAGATGGGGCTGTAGGTCAAGGTCAAGTTCAACTCACTGAAATCACAAAACGTGTAACTGAGTAGTTCTTTAATTCAATGATGTGCAATATTTTTTTATATCATTTTTGCATATCATTAAGACAGTAACTTGATCCAAAGAGCAGCATCACATTGAGTTGATAGGTGCGTATCATCAAATCAAAAAGTCACTTACGGTGTTGTCTGGTTGATGGGCATATAGTCTGTATTTAGGTTCCAATAATCATTGAAGTATAGTATTGGCTGATACTCATCTGTGCCTGGTAGAAACTCCAAGTCTACAATGTAAAGAAATCTCTGGTAATGACAACAAACAAACACCAACATGAAATATCAAGAATTGTTTATTAACAACAGCTGTGTGATGCAATGAAGACAGTATATTTGGGGATCGCAAACAAACTCACATTCATCTAAAGGTTGTGGTACGTGACTCTTCATCCAGGGAGAGTGGTCATCCATTAGATTGATAGTGAGGTTTGGATGCCAGTAATTCAGAATCTCAAACGAGCTTCTGTTGGCTGTCTGAAAACGAGACAACATATTGTTACTGATAAACAACACATACTCCATTAATGCTGGAACCAATCATATATTTTATAAAATATAAATTCTATCCTACACTGTTGTCCTCTTGACCTTTTCCCAAACAAAAGAGGACAGTACTGTTCACCTTTCCATGATTACCACCCCCCCCCCCCTCAATAAATTCTACCTATTAGATAAACAGAGTTTGACACCAAATAAACATTCTGGTAGTTAAACTTTTGTAATGTTTGTGGAAGGTCCAAGTAATGAAATACATTATTAAGGTCTTCCGTTTCCAACGGAAGACCTTCTACTGATTCTGTTGGTAAAGATTATTAGCTTCCTAGACCGCAACTTTGAGGCCTCATATCTCACTCATTTCTCAACGGATTTCGCTCAAATTTTCAGAGGTTATGGACGTTTATAAACTCTATCAGAATGCTGACTAAAATTTCAAAAAATCACTTCCGGTTTTGAGTTATTTCCCTTTAAACGAAAATTTATAGGCTTTCATTTCCAGACAAAGGCTCAGAGACGGCTAAAGCTGGAGCAGAAATTCTACTGATTTTAGATAATACAAGGATTGAAGTTGTGCACATCGGTTTTTGTTTTTCGATTTCTCTATTCAAAATGGCGCTATATAGGGGTCAAAAATATATAAAAGAACCAAAAATTACACATATTTTGCTTTTTATCTTCTTAACTAAAAATATTTTGTTAAAATATATAGAGCATAATTTGTGCAGAATTAGAAGATTTCAAATGATATGTTGGAAAAAGGGCTGACCCCTAAATTAAGGGATCTAGAAGGGCCAAAAGTTTTTTCCAGATATCTCAAAAAGTATTGAGAATTTGTTATACATCAAAAAAGCAAAGTTGTTGAAAATGTCAAGCTTAAACTAATAGAGTCGTCAAAATACGTCCAGCGTCATCAATTCCGGCCAAACCGGAAGTAGTCGGAAAACGCATATTTTTGCCGTTTTGGACAAGTTTTTGGGTAACATATGTCTCTGGGAGCTTAAAAATTAATTTTCCATGCGTCGTCGTCACTTCCGGTTAAACCGGAAGTAGCAAAAAATGGCTTATTTTTGCATTAATTAACATAGCTTTAGAGGATTCAAAGCATTTTTTGGGCGTTATTTCTCATTTTTCTTAAAAATGAAAGCTACTTCCGGTCAAACAGGACGGAAGACCTACTCGTTGCTTTGCAACGAGCTTTGCTCTAGTATCCATATCTAACTGTACAACTTATATACACAAGTTACTTCTCCATTGTAACTGATACATTTCCAATATGAAGATAACACAAACATTACTGCAGTGTGGATCTTTAATATAGATGAACGATTCACACAAGTTTGGTAAAGGTAAGAGCTTGAAGATATTTGGGAATGCACTTGCTCATTAAACTTTTCACATTGCCATAACTTTTTTTTCTGCAGAAGACAGTGATTGGTGCAGATTTCTGACCGATCAGCTGCAGTGATTGGTGCAGATTTCTGACCAATCAGCTGCAGAGTTAGATCCTGACTGACCTGAATAAGATCAGGGTGAACGTCTGTCTCTCCTGTCAGTAAATTGGTCGTCTTATGGTACCTTCTTTTCTTGTATTTATTGAGACCTAAAAATAAGAACAGCAATGAAAAAAGGGATTGAATAATATATTAACAATAATCAATTGAACGAATACTCAGCTCTAATTACTATTTAGCTATAAATAAGATAAATGGATTATGTTTACTCAGTAAATTTGGTAGATTATCTTTTTCATACATTATGATTTCTGGAAGGAGTTGACAGCTTCTAATTTAAACCTAATAATTTTCAAATTCTAATCATTCTAGAAAACTATAAGGACAAAAGTTGTTATTCATGAAACTATGGACCAAGAATGTAGAACATATTAAAAAACATAGATAATCAAAGATTACGAAGCTCACCTCTACAAATGTTATCAGTGTAAGTAATGCAAATCTCACGTAATATTTTCTTAATAGTTAGAATTTATCCCAACAACAATATTCTTGCAAGTTCTGTTTAACCCCTTACATGGCGTATACACATTTTTACACGTCTAGCATGAAAAACATATATAGTATAAACAAATAATCATAACTTTGTTAATACTGCATATCTAGGACCTGTTCAAACACTTTAACCTGATCTCTGTATGGAGAGTATAGGTCAGATCCAGCATCCGAAGCAAGTCTGGTAGTGTCCATCCCTAGATGCATCATCCATGCAAGTTTGGTTCAGGTAGGGCTTATAGTTACTTGGAAATGAAAATGTAGGTCAGATCCAGCATCCCAAGCAAATCTGGTAGTGTCCAACCCTAGATGCATTATCCATACAAGTTTGGTTCAAGTAGGGCTTATAGTTACTCGGGAATGAAAACGTAGGTCAGATCCAGCACCCGAAGCAACTCTGGTAGTGTCCATGCATGTTTGGTCCTTGGGAATGGATCTGCTCTGAAAACTTTAACCTGGTCACTCATTTGGAAAATGTAGGTCAGATCCAGCAACTGAAGCAAGTCTGGTAGTGTCCATCCCTAGATGCATCATCCATGCAAGTTTGGTTCAGGTAGGGTTTATAGTTATTTGGGAATGGACTTGCTCCTAAAACTTTAACCTGGGACGTCGACGCCAACGCCGGGGGTATAGCATAAGCACATCTCGACTTCGTCGAGGTGAGCTAATTATATTAACGTTAGCAGTACAACGTGCAATTCTATCATTATATGTACTTACGTTTTGACCTGTGCACTGTGAACTTCCTGGAATATTTTCCCTTATCTCTAGGGTTAGGAGATTTACCCGCTTTCACAAAATAACAGTGGAGGTATATTGATCCATTGTTTATCACATTCTTAAAATGAAGTACAAAAAAAAGGTTATGTAAAAAGTCATAATTCATCACAAAAATGTTTCTCTTTAACTACAATAATGTAACAATTAAAAATAATACAAGATGTTTGAGCCTTTACATTCCCTCTCCACCAGTACAACTTACCGAAAATGTTTGATAAATTCACTCTAGCAGTTTGCCATTAAACATGATAATTTATGAATAGCAGTTTTTATAATACTAATTTACTCTAGGCAGTTTGCCTTACTAAATACTAATTAACTCTAGCAGTTTGCCTTACTAAATACTAATTAAATCTAGCAGTTTGCCTTACTAAATAATAATTTACTCTAGGCAGTTTGCCTTACTAAATACTAATTAACTCTAGCAGTTTGCCTTTTATAATTAACTTAGCAGTTTGCCTTAAAATACTAATTTACTCTAGCAGTTTGCCTTACTAAATACATTTTAACTCTAGCAGTTTCCTTACTAAAAACTAATTTACTCTAGCAGTTTGCCTTACTAAATACTAATTTACTCTAGGCAGTTTGCCTTACTAAATACTAATTAACTCTAGCAGTTTGCCTTACTAAATACTAATTTACTCTAGCAGTTTGCCTTACTAAATACTAATTTACTCTAGGCAGTTTGCCTTACTAAATACTTATTTACTCTAGGTAGTTTGCCTTACTAAATACTAATTAAATCTAGCAGTTTGCCTTACTAAATAATAATTTACTCTAGGCAGTTTGCCTTACTAAATACTAATTAACTCTAGCAGTTTGCCTTACTAAATACTAATTAACTCTAGCAGTTTGCCTTACTAAATACTAATTTACTCTAGCAGTTTGCCTTACTAAATACATTTTAACTCTAGCAGTTTGCCTTACTAAATACTAATTTACTCTAGCAGTTTGCCTTACTAAATACTAATTAACTCTAGCAGTTTGCTTTACTAAATACTAATTTACTCTAGGCAGTTTGCCTTACTAAATACTAATTAACTCTAGCAGTTTGCCTTACTAAATACTAATTTACTCTAGCAGTTTGCCTTACTAAATACTAATTTACTCTAGGCAGTTTGCCTTACTAAATACTTATTTACTCTAGGTAGTTTGTCTTACTAAATACTAATTTACTCTAGGCAGTTTGCCTTACTAAATACTAATTTAATCAAGCAGTTTGCCGTACTAAATACTAATTAACTCTAGCAGTTTGCCTTACTAAATACTAATTTACTCTAGACAGTTTGCCTTACTGGGGGAGCCTGGATTTTGCTCTCTTTGACATAGGAGCCATCCCCGTTAGGTCCACTTGTCCAGTCTCCATACTCCAGACCCCTCTGTACCCAGAACAATGCATCCTCATTAAAATCAGTCAAGTCCTCTTGTTCTGTCACATAAATGTACATGTCCTGAAAAACAAAAGCATTTCAAAATGTTCATATAGCCTCACAAGCATACAAAATCTCTTTCATCAAAAGGTGCCATAACTGAAGTCACACCATACCATTTTCATGCCTTTAGGATATATATTCTGAGCATATGGAGTTTTCCCCCCTTTGCCATCTGATGTGTTTGCAGGTGGTGTCCCTCTTCTGAAGAAACTACTGATCATGTAGATGATGAGCATCCGCACTATCAGGGATTTTACTGTAGACCATACCCCTCCAGGTGCTTGCTAAAAGGCAAAAAGTATATATATATCTCAACAGGTACTGGCATAATGATAAACTATGTTTGATGTCTATTTACAGGTATTAGGTCTTTTATAAAGTATCATTGTTCATTGATACATGCAGGGTTCTCCACATTTGAAAAAACCTTTGTTTTGAAGTCTACGGAAGGTTAAAAACCGAGTAACGATTTGATCGATTATAAAGTATCATTTAACCTTCATTTATCACGATTGTTTCACAAAACTTAATTACTGCAACACAAAAAGTTGAAACAACCAATAATATTCTTTCATCTAGAAAATAAAATTAAGAAGAAACATGATAAAAAAGATTGTGAATGAGTAATAAAATCCCAAGACTATAAAAATAATTTGAAAGAATTAAAAAAATTAAATAATTTAATAGAGTAACCATGGCAACATTTAAATTAATATACAGAATTAAAGTTGCCTGTTGTATGAAACATTTTATCTAAATATGAATGAAACTGATGAATGGGGTAGCTTAGCCCAATATAACATCCTCTCAATGCCTCAGCTTCTTTTATTACTACAAAGTATATCATGTCTATGAAAACTTACTGATGGTATGCATGGTAAAAGTAACGTAACATCACCAGTTGCATAAATTTGATACATATGTGATTTTGCTTTTTTTAAAAATCCGAAACGTTCTTTTTTCTAAATATTGTATTTTTGCGGATTTTTCTTGTCTACTTCTCCACATGCTCCAGTGCTAAATTTAGAACCATGTGACGTCTATAAAAACGAGAGAGTAATACTACCATTGGCACTAAAGATAATAAAGAAAAGATAAGCAAATGGATTTGATTAAATACAAAGAATATGACATCTTGACAGCCTTAAGGTTATTGGGGTTTTTTTTCTTGGCTCAGAAACTTGAATCAGATGCTTGCCGATTTTCATGTCGTTACAGCTCGTTTAAATATGTCATCTTTTTAATTTGTGATTATACTAGAACACATTGGAATTCCCTGAAATTTACATATCTACAGGATAATTAACTCTCAAAATATTGATCATCATCTGATTGACTCTACATTGTCACGCTTCACAGCATAGTCGCTGATCAACAAGCATATTTGTTTAGCACAATCCGCTTTCCCTTGAGGCATGCGAGGTGCATGGCACTTGTAGTATAAACACAATTAACTACTCAAGTCATTAAACAGTTGGTTTCAATTTTAAAATGCCATAAAAATTTAATCATAGCAGCTGTCGGTTTTAACCATGGCGCAGCTCGTTTAACCATGGTGCACATAAATTTAACCATGGCAGGCCACCATGGTAAAACCCCTTGTGGCTTAAAAAAAAGCCCCGGGCTATGGGGCTTCCATTGCTCTTTAAAATGTACAAATTAAAAAAACAGAATTTTTTAACATACTATTGTTTCTACAAGAGACCATGCACTTTTAAGGTCACCTGAGCATTATTTGAGTTTCTAAAGGTAAGGCATACTATATAAAAGTAATAATAATATGCCCTGCTTAGCCCAATATAGGACCCAATTACCTGTACATCCATTTTATTTGTAGGGTGAAACGGTTCACTGCTGTATCGATTCACAGTGGTGTTTTTTTTTATGCCGAATTCTCTACTTTGGGTTCAGTTCACTTTTCGGAAAGGATTATTCAGTCAGGTTAGACATAAGGTATAAACACGTAACTCAGTAAGTGTAAGTATGAAATTGAAAAAAGTTTTGCAGAATGATAGTTTGTAAAATAATCTAAACAGTCAAATCAAGCTAATCAATTTCTTTTAGTCATTTTGCACGTAAATTGTAAGACTAGATTTAGTAAAAGAAAGCAAATAAAACAACATTGAATTTGTTTTCTTCTATCAAAATATATCGTATAAAAAATAACCATACAGAGACAATATTATATTTTTTATTGAAATAATTTTTAAATTTTTAAACAAACAATAACCATTTAAACGGGAAAATTTATGTGTTGAATTTTTATGGCTACTTATTCATGAAACACTAATTTAATAAACCATTCTTTCACTATAATGTAAGTATGAGTCGCCATTACTGTTTATTTGTTGCTTTTTATGATGAAAGAGTAGGACGTTTAAAAACTGAAACGAGATAGTATTATAAAAATATAATACGATAACATTGAGGGTTCCGGTTTACGTTCAATTTTTCAAAGCTCTATATTCAACATTATGCCGTTATAACTTATAAGCATTATACTTTTTATTTTCTAATCAATAAAAAGCAACAACAGGGGTTATCTATCTTAGAACATATACTTGGAAAAATAAAATAATACATCGCTAGTTTTCACTACTCGTAAATCGGAATTAAATATGTTAGACCATATTGGTTTCTAATCTCAGACTAGATAGTTTTGTTTAATATTACGTTTCCGATATCGATTATAACAGAAAAAAAATGTTTATAACAGACACAGAGTGTGTTTTCTTTGGTAAATATGAAATAAAACAACTTGTTTGGATGAAAGGTTTTTTTCTGATAGACATTAATATTAACCTTCGTGTAAACGTTTACTCAATTTGTATATGTTTAGAGCATTTAATTGAAACGTCGCCGTTTACACGTGGCGCGTCAACTTACCCAAATGGACCCAAATGGAAACACAAATGGACCCAAATGGAAATCAAATGGAAATCAAATAGAATATTAAATATGTATTATCGTTTTTTATAACTTATTTAAAATGATGAAAATAAATGTACAGAAAAATTTACAGTTACAAATGCAGTTTTATATTTGTTATTAATCTCTAATATTATATTTTGAGACATGAAGTTTTGATAGTATTCTATCAGGTCTGGACGATTTCTAAATATGGAAGTCAAGAACGATAACCGAAAGTTGCTATAATTGTACATCAGGTACACGTATTTTTTTTTCTGTCCAATCAGACAACAGCATTTTTACACACCCCAAAACATATTTTAAAAGAACAAAAAGATAACACGTGCTTTTGTTTTTTTTCCTCAAAAAGATTTTTTTAACAAAAAATCTGTAGAATATGAAAACTTTTGAAGAATAAGGTATTCCCCACATTTTTACCATGAACGACCTTGACATTTTTATCTCAGTAAAGAAAAAAAGTAATGCACGATATAATGTAATTGTTTACAGAGGTATAGATCGCACCACCAAGTTTTTATCAAGTTCAATTATAACATTTACCAGAATATATTATATGATCTAAATATAATTTTGATCCGTCCGATTTTCATCGATAATGCTTAAATTCCATGTGTATAGATCAACTCACACAAGTGTTTATCGTATGGAGTATACACATATAGTTTTAAATTATCACGGGTTTCATGAGCGCCGAATACTTAGCTCTGCAGACTTTAAATGGGCATAAGGAAAGGCGTATAACGTGGAGAAAAGAGAATCCTGTAATTAGTCATGAATGCATTTTATCCCAATATCTTACCTCGCATATCAGAAACTGCGTGACTGTTGTAATATACATTCAAAAATGATAAAGACTGATATCTTTTCGATAAGATTTTTATGTCAGGCTCTAAAAACGAAAATTTACCGTATTGTATCACGTAAGTTAAACTTTTGACTTGAAACCGAGATAACCCATAAAAATTTGTTCACGGTAGAATTGTCATAAATATTATATTATTCACAAATGCGCATAAAGTTTACAAAAAGTTTGTTCTAAAAAAATCTTTTGAGCAAAAAACTTAAAAACCACGTGTTTTTATTTATTTTCTCATGGGTTTGTCTAAAATGCTGTTATCTATGGCAAGGATTAGTGCCTTGTTTATTCCGTGTATTAATAGATTCATCTTTGACTTCCTTATTTAGAAATCGTCCAGACCTGTCTATATACCCGCAAAATTTTTTGGGGTGGGGTGGGTTGGCATGCCCCCCCCCCAATCTATTCCTACGGCCATAGAAACTATCAAATACTTCAGTTTTGTATTCAATTATGTTCAATAGTTATTACAAATAGAATTAAATCGCATTTTTAAAAATACAATTTTAGAAAAAAATTATATTTAAATATTCTCTTTTTGTCAACATGGTTATTAATAATTTCATTATTTTCTATATTTTATATAAGTAAAATCTTGAGAATACGATATAATATCAGTGTTTTCCCTAAGAACCGGCTACCGGCCAAACTGACTGCTTCAATTGACAAAAATTCCGCTTTGAAATAAAAAAAATTGTTGTAAGGTCCATAGAGATTTTGTTCATTAACCTCTGCCCCTAGCCTGTTACAACTGATCTCTAACCCTTTACTTTGAAATAAAGGGAAAACACTGTACTTACAGTTACTGTAATATATATATATTTTATACATTTGAGTTTCCATTTAGGTCCATTTGAGTTCTATTTGTTTCCTTTTGGGTCCATTTGGGTTCCATTTGTGTCCATTTGGGTAAATCAACGAACCCTTTACACATGTAATCGTTTCGCCCTTATATAGAACCATGAAGGAGGCATAACGTTTCACCCACTTATTTGGAACATTTTATCTAGGCTAAATAACTATCAACTGCTGGACAAATTTGCATAATAAAGAATTTTCCTTAGAGCTTATCATCCAGGCTTTTGTGTTTACCTCCCAAATTTTGTTTGAGGGAGATAAGCTAAAACATCTTAAGATTGAAAGGTACAGAACATTAAGAGAATTATCATTAATTTCCGCAAGTTATTCAAGTTACCAGATAAAAGATACAAAGGATATATGAAAGAAGAAATACAGTTAAAGAGTCTATGGCTTGTGCTGTTATAAAAACAGAATGAAAAACTACACTAACATGTTCAATTTGAATTTCATCATTATAATGTCTATAATATAGATGGATTCATGCAACGTGTATTTGTAAAATAAGGAACAAAGAAGCTCAGACAAATTAAAAACTCCGAAACCATTTCAAATAAGCGGGAATCTTTTAAAACTATTTTGTGACGCGGGATAAATATATATATACCTGCTGCGCCCCATTGGCTTGGTCGGCGCCTTCGACGTTTCCATTCGCACCTTGTGCCAGCTGAGTGTCCGCCATGATTTTGAAATAGCCTCTAACCAAAAGCACTTCATAAGTTTTTAGTTTCTTTCTGTGAATTTAATAAAAAAAAAATTCTAAATTTGTAAAATTTGCAATAGTAACTAAATTTTTAAGTTTTAAAAGAGAAATTATGTCCAAAATAAATAAGTCACACTAGAGAAATTATTTTTAGAGACTAAATATTAGCATTAAAGATGGCGGGATTCCGCGATAGGGAAAAACAATTTTTCCCACTTCAAAATATTCAAGATGTTGTAAAACTGTTTCGGGACCAGTTGACGTGTGGGGAAGAGCCTAATTTATCACTACTATCTATTGTTCTTGGAGTCATTGAAAATATTCTGACTGTCAACCGAGCAGTGCCAACAGAAGATAATTCTTCAAATCTGGAGCCGATATTCCCGGTCGTTGAACTGCATACAATTGAGGCTCTGTATTCCAAATTTGAGACACATATCAAACGATCTGTGGATCTGACCAAATTTCCGGGTAACCATGCCACAAGGGAGCTTGTTAAACACGTCTCTGATGTTATTTGGGGCTCCCTTACACGAAGTTTTTACAAGGACAAGGCGCATCTCCAGTCGTTGTACAGTTTTCTAACGGGTACTCATCTAAAAATACGAATATAAAACAGAAATAGTATAAATTTTACTTTTTGAAATACTGTAAAATATCAATTTGTATTATTAAATAGAGCTGTCATGCATTGGATTTTCAGAAAACTGCAAAAAATGGGGTTACTCGGTGCTGTAGCCATCACAAGCGCGTCATTCAGATAATCGATGTATGACTAATTATCATATTACAAGCAGATGTGTAGAATATTGATTTTTTTCCCTTTACCTCTGACACCAGAGAATTAATTTTTCAGTTGTTGAACTTTATTATTTGTATTAAAACATCACCAATCAGGCAGAATCATTTCATAATTTATTTATGCTAGAGTTGTCTTTCTTCAATTATCAAACACTTGAGAACACCTGCAAACAGCATTATTTAGAAAGAAAAAGACAAAATAATTCAAATATTAGAACTCTTTTAAAGTTCTGAATTCCATTTCTTTTTTACATTTTTAAATTAGATTTTCACATGCATCAAATTAGGCCTATAATTAAAATAATTATGTGAAAATGATTTCAGCCTTTTTTTTTTTCTCATTTTGCCTTTCATTGCATAGCACTTCAATCATATTTCTTCTTTTTTTTATTTTTGTGTTTGTATTTTCACTTTCATAGATTCATTTTATCCTCCAATTAGCAAGTAAGATATTAAATTATTGCATTTATTTTATTTCAGGCAACAAGTTGGACTGTTTTGGAGTAGCATTTGGAGTTGTGGCAGCGTTTCAGATCCTAGGATACAAAGATGTCCATCTAGCACTCTCAGAGGACCATGCTTGGGTTGTCTTTGGAGAAGACCTGGCAGAGACAGCAGAGGTTACTTGGCATGGTATGATTTATCATGATTTATTGCATAATGAACTTTTCTCTTATTCTTTTTAAACAGTGTATGATAGTGACAATATTTTAAAATTCAACAGTAGATTTTATAGGTGTCAAGGTTCCAATTTTTTCAGACCAGGTCAGTTCAGTTATTATGCCCTGCCATGCTCATTTGCAAAGAAACTTTTCATGGCAAAATAATTTTATCAGTCTTCATTTGGTGTTACATATTCATGAGAAATATTCGAGAGTATCAACATTTTTTTAACCTTGACATTTCCTTTGGTCTTGGCCCATTTTTTTCTAGCTCAGTTTAAAGAAACTGTTGAAGATATTTTTTTCAAATCTTACATGCTGATGTATTTTTATTTAACTGTATATGCTGATACATATTTATGTAATATTAAGAACTATCAAACTGCATCAAAATGTTTTCACCTTGACCTTTTCTTTTATATGACTTAATTCCTGAAATTTATTATGATCTCACTATCTTAAAATATTATTAAGCTCAGTTTCAAAGAAACTATTAAAGATATTTCAATCAAACATAATATGCTGTCAGCTGATACATGTTAGTAAGAACTCTTTAAATATTTTAACATTTTTGACCTTTCCTTTGACATTGACTCCATATGATTATAAATATTTGAACATTGACTTCAAAATTTGTGTTTCAAAGATACAAATTGAGATATTTTTATCAAACTTGAAACTTCATATCTGATATATGTTGAGGTAATCTTTTCAATTTCTTACGCAATTTGAGTTGCAAATTTGATGTCGAAAGTTTTTGTCGCAATATTATAAATAACTATTTAAATGACAGAAAAAAAGATGATTTCATCAAATTTCATAGGAGAATACATACTGATGAGAACTATTCAATTGCATCAATATTTTTAATAATTTATTTTTAAACTAGTTAAATTTTTGATTAAATGAAAATATTCTTTTTATTGGTGAAAATAATACAAATCATGAGCTTTTCTTCCATTATCTCGACCCGACCCGAAAAAACAAATTGAGATATTTTTATATAAACTTATACATTCCCTTGAAAAAATCTTTCTTCTGAAAGCAAAATAATTCTTTATATCAGTCAGAATTAAACATAATGATTTAAATTACATACAGATTTATCATAATAGCATATTTTAACAGCAAACTTAATTTCTCCAAAATCAATTTCTTAAATATTTTCCCTTTGACCTTGACCCTACTTTTCTCAATTTTGTGTTTAGCTGAGTTTCCTAGAAATAATGCCTGATATTTTTCATGCAAGCTTTTGCACTGATACATCATTTGGTGAAAATTTATCAACTGTGTTGAGGTTTTTCCCTTTCCTTTTTTTTAACATTCTTCTCAATGTCTCTTGGGTTTACTACTTATTTAATTCATTGTAAAGAAAGGTTTCTCATCACACTTCATACACTGTTACAAATTTTCATTTTGCATTACTAATACACCCTGGATGGGGCATTCATGAACATACTTTAAGTTAAATCTATAATTGTGTAGAATGGAGAGGACTTTATGAACTTATGAAGTGTTTATTTAAAGGAAAGGGAAATGAAGACAAGAGAGGGCAGCCCATTACAGCAGGGACTTCAGAGAAAAGCTGGCTGTACTTGAATGGTCACCCTGTCATCTGTACCAGACAGATGGAGGTGTCCTCTATAGTGAGTGGAATAAACCCCTCCATTACTGCCACCACTGACAGCGTGGAGTTAGGCTCACTGCAGCAGGTAAGGGTGCCTCTGTGTGAATTTTTCCCAATCTAATCAGCTAATTTTTTTTCTTTTTGAAAAATATAGAAAATAATAATTTATATAAGTCAGAGGTTTTTTTTTTTCATGTATTTCAGGAACTTCTGTGGCTTCTTTATGACCAAGGGCATTTAAAAAAGTAAGCTGTTTACTTGTTTTAAATCATTTTCCATGCAAATATTGGCTTTCATGAATTAATGAAATTAATTCAATCATCAGCAAAATTGTTAAAAGAAAAACCATTTCAGATATCCGATGGCACTCGGTAACCTTGGTGATCTAGAGGAGATATCCCCCACAGAGAATCGACAGAAACCAATAGAACTATTTCACGAAGCCATAGCCAGCAGTCAGGAGTTTTACAATGACCAGCATGTCTACCCTTATACATATCTGGGAGGGTATCTGTACCGGAAACAAGACTACAATGGGTCACTTCAAGCCTGGGCTGATGCAGCTTCAGTCATCAAAAAGTAAGTATTGTTCATCAAGTCTTTTCCTATGGGATTTAAGACAGTTTTTGGGAGGTATACTCAGTAAAACATCCAATTTTAAAACAGAAGTGGCCGACACAGTGATGTCTATTTTTTTAGGAAGACCAATCAAAATAGTGGGTATATTGAGTGGTTTTGTTATAACGAACTGTTCAGTAGTTATAACTAGTAAAACAGTGTATATCACAAATTCATCATATTATTAACTTTTATGATTTCTTTTTATGGATATAATTAATTAAAGATATCCTGTATGTTAAGCAGAACTTCTGCTTAACCAAGTTAAACGTAATAACAATTTTCAGAGCATATTCTTGAAAGCTGTATTTGAAAAAAAAGTTTTGTATTTACAGATATTCTTTAATGTTAGTGATAACAATTAATTGTACAATTCTTTTTCATGTTTCACGATAAAAAAAACATTAATAAACATGCTTGAATTCAGGAAATTTATCAACACATTTCCTGTACCCTTTCAGGTATAACTACAGCAGGGAAGACGAGGAGATCTACAAGGAATTTCTAGAGATTGCTAACGATCTGATTCCCTCCATGATGAAACACGTGGCCGGGGAGAACGCAGCCAGGATTCATCACACCTCACTTCTGTACAGCCCGGAGAGCTATGCCAACTTTCTACGATTCTACGACGGCATTTGTGAGTGGGAGGAGGACAGTCCTACCCCAGTCCTTCACATCACCTGGGCCAAACAGCTGGTGTTCTCAATCTCTAAGTTTGACACCAGTGTAAGAGTCGGGGTGGAGCTAAAAGGAGAAAATGGGGATGAAGATGAAAGCGAGGACAGTGAAGATGAAGATAATAGTGGTGAAACAAAGGACAAAAATCAGAATGTCAAGGAAGAAAGTTCACGGAATAGGACAGAGGAGTCTGATGTGGAAGGGGGAGTACCCACAGGGAGGGGGAGAGGTGGGAGGCCCAGCAAAAGAAGGACCATGTCTACAGTCGCAAAAACGTCCACAGTGAATGGCAACTCAGAGGAAGATAAGATAAAGAGTGCTATTCAAGAACTTGAAAGCAAAGTCGGAGGAGAAGAGAAGGAGGATATCAATCCGAACATCCCAGACCTGGCCAAAGCCTGCAGCGAGTCCATTTTGAATCCCGAGTTTTTGCTGGGAGGTGGAGAACCCTTCACCACGGCAACCACCACAACTTCAGTGACAACGTCAACATCAGAGGCATCGTCTAGAGGAGATCTTGATGATTTCCTGAGCAGCAAGTCCAGTGGATCTCCCTTCATGGGAATGACTGTGGACTCCATGCTGAAAGCGGAGAGTCCGTCTGACATGATCATGTTCAGAAAGAGGCCTCCGTCTGCTCTCACCCACACACCTTCCCCTCTGCTGGAGAACAGGGAGGGACAGTCAGAGACAATCATTCCAAGTCCCACTCCTAATGAACAAGGGCCACCAGTAATTCTGTGTTTGAGGAGCCAAAAGATGAAAGGATTGAAAAAGATCTTCTCATCGTCCAAGTTGAATGCGAGTGCAATTAAGTTACAGTTGACAGCTCAGTCACAGGTTCATTTCAAACACAGTAAACGAAGTACGGATTCCGATCTAACGACTCACAGAAAGCGGTCGCGGAGAGAGTAAGTGGGATCTAGGCCGTCTGTCTCTTCTAATAGGTACCGAATGACCTCCCTTTTTTATGTTAACAGGTTGTCTTTCAGCTCAGTGTAGATCAAATGTTCACCCACAAGTTCATCTGTATATAGTGAAATTCATGTACATGAATGTAGCACTCTTTTCTCCATAATCACTCATACATTTTTAATCATATATACATGTACATCTCAAATATTTGTTGTGGCAGACCAAATCATGTTACACTTGCATCATTGAGTTTTTGGGGTTGCAATATATTGTAGTTTTTGTTTTTTGAGTATGACATTGTTAAATATTTGTGTGTCTGAACAGTATTAGAACAGTTTGTCTTCATTTTCATGAGTATTGTGTAAAACGTGCGACATGTAAGGAAGGGCCCCACACAATTTATATGTACTCTATTTTATAACTAAGTTCAAAGATTTTTTTGTTTCTCCTGTTCCCCTTGTAAATCACTAAAAAAAAAAAAAATAACAAATTTTACACGACAAAAGCATTTTATTTGCAAGGTGAAATTATATTTTCTGAATAGAAACTTTTTTCTTCAAATGGTATAAGTGTTTCCTATTTTGTTATTTTGCAGTACATTTTCTAACATGTTATATCTGACAGTTTAAACTCAAACTGGTCAGTGTTTACATTGCATCATAATGTGAGGCTCTCGCTTACCAGCTAGTTTTCTATGACCAAATGACGTTGCAGTTCTGCAAAAAACTTGACCGTATATAGATGATAGGTTTTTTTTTTTTTGAGTTATGTATGTTTTCTTTGAAATCTTTTTAAATTACTAGCACCTAGAATTTCCAAAGAAAAGTATATAGTAGCTAAGTTTTGATGAATCGGTGTTTAATTCTTTAATGTCAGAAGATTTTAATAGACAGACTGTACATCTGTGCTATGGCCTCTGTGCATCTGTACTATGGCCTCTGTACATCTGTGCTATGGCCTCGGCACATTTGTGCTATGGCCACAGAGGGAGCCTAGCCTTTCAGTGTCTGCTGGACTTTTATACATGATTAGGGCATTTTTAAAATGTATAAATATAGGTGTATTTTTTTCTGCTTGTTTAATGTAGTGTTCTCCTACTATAGGTAACTAGACTGTAGAATTGTAAATAATTTACAGTATTTAATATAATTCTTGGTGCCATTCTAATTGCTGCAATTAAGTGCTATCTTTAAGACTTCTAGAAATGATAACTTTTTTGTGTAAAAGTGCTCTGCATGATTTTTTCCTATTAACAAAATTTGTAAATATTTTTTCTCAGTTATATCATTGTTGAAATTTTGGATCAACTTTTACTGATTGAGAATTTTCTATTTTACGATGTTTTTTGCTCATGTTTCTTTTTTAACTTTGTACATACAGCTGTTTTTAAGACTAGCTTGTTGTTATCTTGTTTCTACGGTAATATTACCCTGCCCTCCATCTTACAAGTTACACAAAATGTTTAATGTTAAAAAATGTGATGAAGTCAAATTTTTCGTAGGAGCAGATGAGTGATACAATGTGAAAGAAGTGTATTTATTTGAGGTAATTATAGTTTTACTTTGACGATGACTAGTTCTTACAGTCTTACCACATTTACTGTAGTTGAAAAAAAGATCAACTGATTCAGAATGAATTTTTTAATGGTTTAGTGTCATAATGTTAAACATCACAATGCAGAGACATTTATAAGGACAATTCAGATATAAATTGATTAATTTTGAAAAATAGATTATTTACACCATTGGAAATGCATCAATTGATTCGGAACCATTGCAGTGTTAAATGTATAGAAATTATGAGGAGGAGGGGGAAAAACTGTTGCTATGGCTGTTGATTTCTGTAGACAAATTTTACACTAAAGATAAAATTTTTTATCTGAAATATACTTAAGGCAGATTCTTTTAAATTTTGGTGAGTGTTGGGTTTTGAGAATATCTGAAAACAACATTTTTGGCTCGTCAGAGTCTTCAGCTCAATTCCATAAAGAAATCTAAAAAGGGAGATCTTTTTCTGTGAATTTTTTGTCTACAGAATAATGTTAATCTTTGTTTAATGATTATGCACCGTCCCTTGTTAAGAATTTTTCTGATGCAAACCCTGTTATAACTGTTCTGGAGAGATAATTAATTGACCAAGCAAACTGAGTTTTTCCACTGTGAAAAACCAAATGTTAGACATAAGCTTCAATATTTAGTGTAATTTTGTAACTAGTTTAATCATGAATTCATGTGTTACATTTGCTTTTATACACATTGTCTTTTTAAGAGAATGTAAAGGAATTAGATTAATAAGTACACTGTATTTTATAATATTAGCATAAAGGATTATTTTTGTCCCACATTATTTTTGCCCATCACACTAGCACATGATTCTACATTGCTTCTGGGTCTCACATTTGACTGTGACTGATTTCTGTGGGGTCATGGTAAGTGATGCTGGTCTCCTGAGGGTATGTCTTATCCAGCCTTACCCCTGGTGCAAAAATTTTGTACAATGATTTCACCCAATCTTTAAATTCATTCGCAGTTGTCTTTAATAAAAGAGGGGAAAGTGTTTTAATGCATTTGTCCCATTTTAAAATTCTCCTGCTGATAGTGAGGGCAAAAGGGTGAAAATAATGTGGGATAAAAAAAATCCTTATAAACGTTAATCCTGTTTCGCAATATTGCTTACTGCACGTCTGATTTGGTTTCTCTGGATAAGGTTTTATATCGGTGCTCGTTAAATACGTGGAAGCAGGCAGCTATGCTATGTTTGTATTATCAGTCAAAATCATTGGCTTCCAAAGCTCATCCTTTGCAATTTTGAACCCAGTAATTAGGCATCACTAAATTTTAATCCACTGAATTTCAATTTAATTAAGTAAACATACAATGTAATATTTGGTCAATTTTTCTTTGAATTTTTTGCAAAAAAAAAAGGGGGGGCAAAGGATTAAAATTTCAAATTTGATATGACTTTCCTTCGATGTTTCCATTTTCACTATTGCTTAGAATACATGGCTTCATTGTAATATACTATGACTTGGATGTTAGAATGTGACTGTAAACTTAGCACTGCACACTGATTTCTTGATCACTTAGTTTTAGGGTATTGTTTCTAGGAGAAGTTGATCTGATTTTCTGTTGTTGAGATTAGCACCGTTGTTGTTGTGTAGATGTCGGGATACACTGTCAAGTGTAGCTTCATCGATGTTCTGTATTGTCATTATGTTTTCAATAAATTTTTAAAAACAATTAAATTGCTTTTGTCCTTTGTAAGGAAACTAAATGTCACCCAGTTGACATCCATCTTTGTCGTCATTGTCATGAACTTAAAGCATGTATCCTCTCTGATATGACTGAACCAGTCCAACTAAATGATTTACTGTAATATTATATAGCATCAATGGATGCAGTGAAGCAATGCTAATGTATTCTAGTGTGGCGGTCAGCCGGGTTCGATCGCCGGTGGCCAGATAGCCCAGTTGGTAGAGCACCTGAACAGAGTTTTAGGGGTCCTGGGCTCAAATCCCGGTCTGGTCTACTGCATTGTTCTCATCTCCCAGCCGGCTGTTACCATTGACTTGAAATAAAAAAACTAATTGGAACAGGACCTGAACCTGCAGAGTGCCATTTGAATAGAAAAGCATAAGGTTTTCTTTGACCTTATGCTTTTCCAATCCCCAGATCGGGAACCTGCAGAAGATTCTTTTTTAAAACTGCATTTATTTGAAGAGTCACAATCCTCATAATTCACGTGGACAATATAATTGCCATAAATAATTGCATCCAAATCATGAAGACAACAAAAGCTGGACCACAATTCTTTGATCTTGTATCAGATTATATTTTCAAGTCCGTAATGATAAAAATTACAGATTATTTATGGGATAATTTGCAGCAGAAAATATTATAATGTACATCTTGTATATAAGTCTGACTTATTGATATGACTCATCATGATTATAATAAATGATTAAAAATTAGAAGTTCATGATGAATGTTGAACATCTTCATTAGTGTGTCCTTGTAGGAAATGTGACACTTATAACTGACCTTCGATTTAACATTTAGCTCTCAACAAGCTCTGTCTTGTCATCAACTTGAAAACTCTAAGTAGTAGTTTATGTATGAAAGGCATGAAATCAACAGCATGCACACATTATGATTCAATATCATGTGATCCAAGTAAAATCATGAAGTGAAAATAATTAAACAAACTCATTAACAATGATTACAGAAGTACTTTAGACATTATTCAGGTCAAGTGTATCTTGTTGTTTTTATAGCTTATAATTACTGGACCCTGAAGTGTTCCTAAAGAATGTTTCTCACATACTGTAGAAGTACTTTTATATACATGTATATAGTGACAGTCCAAGAAATCCGTGTAATTTTCTACCCGCAGATTAAACAGAAATTGAGATTCTGCTGAATTAATACCCCGTGTAAAAAAGTACGTCTACAGTACCTGTCTTGTGTTTTGACTTTAAATATGAATACAAGAAAGATTACACATTCCATTAACAATATGTTTCTTCTGAGCCCTCGTTCCTTTATCATGAAAAAGCATTTGATAGCTTAGATATTTGATAAGGATGCAATAAACTGGGCATTTGTTCTGTTCCCAGACATTTGATTAGGCAATGAAATCTACATTCATTTGTTCTGTTCTCAGACATTTGATTAAACAATTAATTGGGCCTTTGTTCTGTTTTTCAGAATTTTTATTAGGCAATAAACTGAGCATTTGTTATGTTTTCAGACATTTGATTCTACTAAAGCAATGAACTGGACATTTGTTCTGTTTTCTGACTTTTGATTAGGCAATGAACTGGGCATTTGTTCCGTTTTCAGACTTTTGATTAGACAATGAACTGAGCATTTGTTCTGTTTTCAGACTTTTGATTAGGCAATGAAATGGGCATTTGTTCTGTTCGCAGACTTTTGATCTTGCAATGAACTGGACATTTGTTCTGTTCGCAGACATTTGATTAAGCATTCTGGACATTTTTTCTGAGAACTTAGATTAGGCAATAAACTGGACATTTGTTCTGTTTTCAGCCATTTGATAGGCTATGAACTGAGCATTAAATTTGTTCTGTTTTCAGACATTTGATTAGGCAATGAACTGAGCATTTGTTCTGTTTTTAGACTTCTGATCAGGCAACGAACTGGGCATTTGTTCTGTTTTCAGAATTTTGATTAGGCAATAAACTGGACATTTGTTCTGTTCCCAGACATTTGAATAGGCAATGAACTGCACATTTGTTTTGTTCTGAGACTTCTGATAAAGCAATAAAATGGGCATTTGTTCTGTTCCCATACATTTAAATAAACAATGAATTGGGCCTTTGTTCTGTTTTTCAGACTTTTGATTAGGCAATAAATTGAGCATTTGTTCTGTTCTCAGACATTTTATTAGGCAATGAACTGGGCATTTGTTCTGTTCTGAGACTTTTTATTAGACAATGAAATAGGCATTTGTTCTGTTTTGAGACTTTTGATAGGGCAATAAACTGGACATTTGTTCTTTTGTTTTGAGACTTTTGATTAAGCAATAAACTGGGCATTTGTTCAGTTGTTTCGACACTTTTGATCAAGCAATGAACTAGACATTTCTTCTGTTTTAAGACTTTTGATAAGGCCATAAACTGGTCATTTGTTCTGTTCCCAGACATTTGATTAGGCAATAAACTGCCCTTAGCAAAATCAAATTGATTGAATTTTGATTTATTTTGTAGTTGTTTTTTGAGCATTGGATTTTCATTGTTTTTTGATTTGCAAAGAAATCAACTGTGCCTCCTTGCTAATTGTATGGGAAAAAAGCATTGAAATAGCATTAAACATTGGATTTTGATTTATTTTGCATTGACTTTTGATTGAAAATGGCTGGATTTTTGCGAAATATGTAAATGAGATGAAGGATTAATTTGACATCACGGAAAAATGCAAAATCAATGCAAAACAAATGAAATACAGTATGAAGCATTTATTTGATGTCACTTAGCATTATTGTGACATCACAGAAAAATGTTAAAGTAATACATATAAAAACATTTAAGTGATGTTATGAAACTTGAGAAGTAACATAGAATAAACACATAATTATGGTAACAAACAATATCCAGCATCATGCTCAATGCAAACATTATTACTAATAATCCATCACATGTATCTTTACCAAAATTTTGAATACTTATCTTAAAAATTCACCAGTACAGTTATAAATTCAAGTAAATGAATTACTAACTTCCTATTAATTAAATGTTACACTTGAATGTGTGTGAGACATGAATAAAACCCAAAAATCACTGACACAATAACAGTATACATGTAATTCCATACATTAATCACATATCACAAAGGCACAATTTGAAGTACACTTCCTTGAATTCCATTTCTATGTTACTCAGCAAATAAGTTTCTCACTTTCTGGATTGTTATTGGTAGTTTTTGTGGAACTGCATTAGTTAAATCTTTTTTTTTTTTTCATTTAACTATAGACTGCTTTAAATTTATTGAACATTTTCGGTGGCACAGGATCTAACTTCAAATCTTTGCAGTTGGAGCATGTATACATACTCTGAAAAAAAATACATTCAAGATATTTATCATTTGATAAATAAATGAATCTTTTAAATAAAAAATAAATGAGAGTCAAGACTGCATGGTGTTTCGAGATTTGGTGCATAATTAGTAATTCTGTAGTGTAGACTAATTAGTTTATAGTTACACTATCAGCTCAGCAGTGGACACCAGCAGTGTTGCTTAAACAAAGAGCATAGATTAACTTAATTTGATTAGAAAGCATGTGATGGAAATTAAGCCCCGATCTTTGTTTACATAAGACTTCCTTGGAGAGTGAAATTTAATACTTGGCATGTTCCCCCTCTCTGAAATTCCACAGAATGTGTAATGATGGGTAAAATAATGCTATAAACAGTGATTAAGAATAAATTTTGAGAAAAAAAGAAATAACTTACTTCCTGAGAAAACAATGTATCCATTATTTGTATGGCATCTACTTCAACAGCACCATTTTTCATCACCTTCAATATCACTTGTCTGTCACAAAACAACACTAGCTGTCTTCATCATTCTTAGATTCTACACAACATTTTGCCATAATATGAATAGTTTAGTCCACAGGGAAGAACACAACAAAATGTTGATCATTTCCATCAAAGTACATCATGGCTTCTAGCTTGTCTGGATGCAGCGCCAGCAGAATTTGAAATGGCTGATAAAGTGACGTAGAGTAATCACGTGATTTTTATCAGCCTCTCCCTGGATATGTTTACAGCTGGTCAGCACTAATATAACCAGCAATATACACAGCTGATAAAGCTACCATTTATTTCTGAATCAATGCTTCAGAAAATAAATACAAATTCAATCATGGATTTACCAAAGAGATCACTTCACGTGTAATTTGTTATTGGTATGACATCATATAAATTCAAAATAAATGCAAAATGAATGCATTGAAACAACATTTATTGAAAAAATCAAATTTCAATTATTCCAAAATCAATGGTCTGAAGATTTTTGAATTGGATTCAATCAAAAATAAATGCATAACCAATGTTCAATGTATTTTCAAGACAAATAAAATCAAAAATCAATGCAAATATAGCATTTGTTTTTGCTAAGGGTGAGCATTTACTCTGTTTTGACACTTTTAATCAGGCAATAAACTGGACATTTGTTCTGTTCCAAGACTTTTGATCAGGCAATAAACTGAGTATTTGTTCTGTTTTGAGACTTTTGATCAGGCAATAAGCTGGGCATTTGTTCTAGCTGTCCCCAGACATTTGATTAGGCAATGAAATGAACATTCATTTGATCTGTTCTCAGAAATTTGATTAGGCAATGAATTGGGCCTTTGTTCTGTTTTTTAAACTTTTGATTAGGCAATAAACTGAGCATTTGTTCTGTTCTGAGACTTTTGATTAGGCAATACATTGACATTTGTTCTGTTTTGAGACTTTTGATTAAGCAATAAACTGGGCATTTTTTCTGTTCCCATACATTTAAATAAACAATGAATTGCACCTTTGTTCTGTTTTTCAGACTTTTGTTTAGGTACTAAATTGAGCATTTGTTCTGTTCTCAGACATTTAATTAGGCAATGAACTGAACATTTATTCTGTCCTGAGACTTTTGATAGACATTTGTTCTGTTTTGAGACTTTTGACAAGGCAATAAACTGGACATTTGTTCTTTTGTTTTGAGACTTTTGATTAAGCAATAAACTGGGCATTTGTTCAGTCTCCAGACATTTGATTAGGCAATGAAATGGACATTCATTTGTTCTGTTTTGATGAACAATGAATTAGGCATTTGTTCTTTTTTTCAGACTTTTGAATACCGGTAGGCAATAAACTGGGCATTTGTTCTGTTCCCAGACATTTGATCAGGCAGTAATTTCCCAGTAAACAGAATTTTTTGTTCCTAGACATTTGAATAGGCAATGAACTGGACATTTGTTTTGTTTTCAGACTTTTGACTAGCCAAAAACTGAGCATTTGTTCTGTTGTTTCAACACTTTTGATCAGGCAATGAACTGGACATTTGTTCTGTTTTAAGACTTTTGATAAGGCCATAAACTGGGCATTTGTTCTGTTCCCAGACAATTGATTGGGCAGTAAAAAGGACATTTATATGTTCTTTTCTCAGACATTTGATTAAACAATGAATTAGGCCTTTCTTCTGTTTTTTAGACTTTTTATTAGGCAATAAACTGGGCATTTGTTCTGTTCCCAGACTTCTGATTGGGTAATGAACTGGACATTTGTTCTGTTTTCAGACATTTGATTGGGCAATGAACTTGGCATTTGTTCTGTCTTCAGACTTTTGATCAGGCAATGAACTGGGCATTTGTTCTAGATCTGTTCCTAGATTTTTGACAAGGCTATAAACTGGACATTTGTTCTGTTCCCAGACTTTTGGTTAGGCAATGAACTGGGCATTTGTCCTGTTGTCTGTAACTTGATTAGGAAATAAACTGGGCATTTGTTCCAAGCAAAGAATTGAGGATTTGTTTCATTTTCAGACATTTCATAAGGAAGTGAAATAAGTATTTTTTCCTTTTTTCAGACATTTCATAAGGCAATGAAATGGCCTTAAACATTTGATTCCAATGCAGTGAGCTGGGCATTTGTTCTATTTTCAGACATTCGATTATAAGCAATGAAATGAGAATTTGTTTTTTTTTCTCATTTCATTTATTCTCATTCTCAATTTGATAAGGCAGTGAACTAGGCATTTGTTCTATTCCCATTAATTTGATTAGAAAATGAAATGGGTATTTTTTTTTTCATTCTCATACATTTGATAAAGCAGTGAACTAAGCATTTTCATTGGTTTCTAGTTTTCAGACATTTAATTTGGCTATGAACTGGACATTTGTTCTGTTCCCTGTAATTTGATCAGGAAATACACTGGACATTTGTTCTGTTCCCTGCCATTTATTAGGAAATAAACTGGACATTTGTTCGGTTCCTTGTAACTTGATTAGGAAATAAACTGGGCATTTGTTTTGTTCCCAGACATTTGATTATAAGCAAAGAATTGAGAATTTCTTTCATTCTCAGACATTTGAATAGGCAATGAACTGGGTATTTGTTCTCTTTTCAGACAATATATTAGGCAAAGAAATGAGCATTTGTTATCTTTTCAGACATTTGATTAGGCACTAAACTGAGCATTTGTTCTGCTCTCAGACATTTGATTCTACTTAAGCAATGAAGTGCCGGGCATTTGTTCAGTTTTAAGACTTTTGATTAGTCAATGAAATGTTTCAGACATTTACATCTACTTTGATTTTGAAATGTAAGACAGTCGTACAATCCCTTGTTTTGCTTTTATTCATCTTAAAATAAAACAATTTTATAACAATTTATCACATATATCGTGTACTCACATACAAAGTAAATATGGCCTCCTTATAAAACTTACCGGTACATACATTAATTAGATGGATATATTTGGTTTTCTAGCAAAGCAATCGTATCTGTTGAAGTAATGAATCATTTAAATGTAATCTGAAAATTAAATTGTACATAGTGACCACTGCACAAACAGGATTTCATCTTAATTTTTCAGCTTATCTTTTTAAGGTTAAGCAAAATATACACAGTCCATTCTGAAAACATAAAAATGATAACTGACAATCTTCAATTTGTTTGATTAATGAGCTAATTAAAAAGAAAAATTGGATGTCTTTCTGTAACCTTAATATATAAAAGAGGTCTACAAGATGTTCTGAAAGATAAACACATCTTATTGCAGATAATAAGGCAATTTAAAAAGAAAACATTAAAGAGAACCACAGAGGACTGGCTAATAAATAGTTTCAACTTTAAAAGTTGTACAGGCAATGTTTTTTACTTCAGCTTTTTGATTCACACATAAACACAGCATATATTCACAAACATATTTATCACATTAAATGCTATGCATGAAAAAGGCAAAACTCTCTCTCTCTCTAGGCAAAACTCTCTCTCTCTCTCTCTCTCTCTCCAGGAATAAAAGTCAATATGTAACATTGATACCTGGAGCATTAACGTTAAATATTTGAAAAAGCATATGCAAGAGAGGGTCCTTCATCTCAACTTTTGTGTTATTTTAGCTTTAACATCATTAAAATCCTGGGTGTCAATTTTTTATAGTCTATCCATACATGTTCAAAATATCAAACTTTGACAAATGTACATATTTTAACCAAAGACTGAAAATTAAGAAAATTAACAGGCAAGTACAGTAGATTTAAACAAATACAAGTATTTATTGGGAAAAAAATGCAAGCCAATTTTCCTTTTAAATGACATTATCATATGAATGCTATTTCCTTAATAAAAGAGAAGTCACACAATATTTACACCACAAAAAACAAAAATTCTATTCAGCATCACTATTTGGTGAATAAAAATAAAAGCAAACTCTGAAAGACTTTGGGGAAATACTGAGCAGTATACAATGCAAATCAAATGGAACCTTGTTAAAGAACAAAATAATTCAACCAAATACAATTACACATGTACCTTCTTGGATCAGCATACAGAATCTCTCAGATTCCTTCTACTCCAAAATAACAAGCTATAATTACTATGGATGTAAAGATATGGCTTAAACATATCATGATACATGTATATCATGATACTCTGGGACTGTATCATTATATATATATCACAATATTTAACACTACACATCATGGTATTCACTATTGGAAATATTGCAGTTTGAGATACTGAAGTTCATTTGTTTAAATACACAGACTATCACTATACAGACAGTCTTTACATCCCTAGCAATTATCTCCTTCTGTCACCTCCCACCCCACCCCACCCAACATTTGACTTTTTGCATTGTTCTAAAAAAAAAACCCTCTTCATTATTTTAAAAGCACAATTTTCTGGATCCTTACAGCAAATGATTAGTATGTTCTTTATTCATGCTTTACAAAGGCATGTTTACTGGCACATTATAATGGCAATCTCAGATTTTTGTTCAAACTTACTGGAATTATGCATGTATATATTTCATAGTTCATACATGTTTATCTAAAATGATCAGAAAATCTCAACTTTCTAGCTGTTTTCAAATCATGGTATAAAAAAAGACAGCATAAAAAAAAAACTACAGAGAAAATTAAAAACAACCATATTAACTAGAAAACTGACCAGTCAGCAAGGGCCCCACCATGGGGTAGAATTATAAGGGTGCAGCTTATGGAATGATTCAAAAATATATGACAAATAAGAAACAGCAACTGTATTCTTAAAATTTCAAGATAATTCCTGAATATCCAAAAACCTGTCAATAATATCCTTGTATTTACATAAGGCAGTAAAGAACAACTCAACACTGAATGTATATCTGAACAATAATGAAGCTTGTGTCAGATAAAGATAAGCCTTCTAAATTTTCTGCAGCAGACTAGATAATTAATCCCAAGGGATTAATTGTACTTCTCTCTCATCATTTTCTTCTGAATTTATAATAAGAACTTTTTCAGTAATGATAGAATGAGGTTTTTATCCTACTACCTTAAAAATCAAAAATATTCTTGAATTTACATGAAGCAAGAAAAAAAAAATAAATAAAAATTAAAAAAAATATATCTTTTTTAATCTATTTCTTGTTTTAAGAATTCAATGAAATCAGAACTCATTGTGTATGGTATTGCAACAAAAATAAAGTAAAAACATTTATACTTCCACTTAAAATGGACTTAACTTTAAAACAAATTTCATTTGTAGACAGAGGTGGTAATTAATCTCAATGTGACAGATAAAGATAATGCTTTGGATTTTCTTCAGGAGGAAAGCTAATTAATCCCAAGGGACTCATTCATTGCAGTATTCAGTTTACAATGGGAACATTTTCAGAAGTTATCTCTCTTTGCCAATTCATTCTTATATAAAGTTAAGGAATCTACCCCACCACCCCAGCTCCAAACCAGAGGACATAGAGAAACAAACTTAGCATCAAAATACGTCTTTTTGCCTACTGAACTACCATACCAAATTTGAACTTAATTGGACTACCATAAAAAAAGTTATTAGGAAAAAACAGAAAATTTGTGGACGGAAGAATGACAGACGGACAGACAGACAGACAGAGTGATTACTATAGGGCACCCGTATATCCTTGCGGGGCCCTAATTAAAGTGAAATTTTAGTGAGACGCAAATTTAGCTATCTGTCCTTAAAAATTAGTATTTTATTTTAGCGAGAAGTAATTTTAGTGATTTTAAAATGCTCAATCAAGAAGCAGTTACGAATAAACACAATTAATTTTTAGCTACATCCAATTTTAGCAATCTCAGCAAAGTAAATCCTTGCTAAAAATTATGCTCATACAGTACATCTACAAAAATATTAATTATTAATGTGGAGTTAAGCCATGTGAAAAAAATCTTGCTACTCAAAGGTATTTGTACTGAAAAATATATGCTAGTATCAGATGAAAACAAAATTGGTTCTTTTCTCCTTTAAAAAAAGTATTTAAAATTGAAAACAAGTGAAACAATAACAAACAAGAGAATATGAACTATCATGAAGAGGTTACATGATGCCTGTGACGTAGGATTGAATCACTGTCAGAGTTTTCACTGGTCTTTGAGGTTATTAGACTCTCCTCTGTATCCTCTTCTACTTCTCTGCTAACCATTGTCTCTAACTTTGAGTATTGCTGATCTGGTGGAGGTCTTCCCTGCATTTGTGCCTCTGTTGCTATGAAAACAAGGTCAAATTCATCAATTTCATTCTTAAAATACATAAAATTTTTTTTAGCCAAAAGGCACTTCTGATGTTGTACTCTGAAATCAGATACTGTAAGTTTTATCTTTTACAATTCATTCCTCTTTCAAGGAAGAAATGCTGTATATGGACAATTATTTGGAACATTCATGAATAGTCCTATGGAAAATTCACTACAGACTATAAATTTAACAGTGAAGCCTTTTTACTTATCTAAAAAACATCATATGTGTATATAAGTAGTGACTGTTTGCAACAACATAAACTTGCATGAAAGTTTATTCATAGTATGACGGCAGATAATTTTTTGTTACTTATTTTATCTTTACCTTGTCTTTCCCTGGCAAGCATTTCTCGTATATTTTTTCTTCGTTCTTCCATTGCAGTTTTATCCTTACGTCTGATCTCTGGCTCATACTCAATTGAATTAGAATTTCCATTCCCTCCGCCATAGTAAAGCTGGTACCATGACAGCAGTGTAATGAAACTAAGCAGACACATATTGAGACTTGTCCCTATAGCGGCAGAAAGGATAGGCCAGTAGAATAACATGTACCTGTAAAACAAAAAACAATTCAACAATGACTTAGACAACATCTTATCCAAAAAGACTACTTAAATGTTTTTGACCTGCTCATCTTGACAAGTCAGGTTCTAAAAATTATGTGTCATTCTCACCTTAAACCACTAAAGTGAGCGTGTATCTTGAGTGTGGCAGAGTAAATCTGTATCCGTCTATTCTGGACCTCTATATAAGCCCCAACAGCAGGATTGTACTGAAATTCAGAGAAAACAGAGGCTGTGAACTTTTGAGCATTTTCCTTTTTTATTTTAATTCTGTTGTACTTTCTTTAACGGTTCTACAACTTACAGAGTCATCAATGTAGCTGTTATAAAACTCGACAGTTAATGACTGTTTTTGTTCAGCAAAGCCTGATAGAAGGAGTGGCGAGAACACAAAGGTGTCCAGGATCCTCAGTAATTCAGATCTGTAGTGCAGGATTATCTACAAGTACACAGACAAAGTGCAATATACTCTTAAATCTGGTTATATCTATCAGTGATATAAGATTTATTTATACAGAAATTTTCACTGAAAACTTTCACAGTAGCTAAGAAATTTTAATTGCGAGTAGTGTTAAAAGTTTTATTCAAGTGTAAAATTTGAAGTTTAACTTTGAACAACTATTGATTCCATCTTTAGAAAACATAAAAATGACTTCTTACCACAGTGAAGAAATTTGAAACATTCACAACATATCCTATTCAAAATCCAAGTGAAATGTGATATATAATGCAGTTAGAAGTTATTGTTCAAGCATTGTTACTTCTTTGATGAGCAAAATTAAAGAGAATTTTACATTTCAGCAGTAAGTCAGAAGTCCCAGTATATGAATAACAGGGTTTACTTCTAAAATTACATTCTTTTATTCATTCTTGAAGTGGGAAAGGGAAAGGGGTCATTGTGACTTTGTGAGCAGGAAAATGATAGAGTGTTGGAAAGTGTCATGTACAATAGGTAACTATTTACTTGGTAGATCTACTGTTCAAGTTAGAATGCATTATGACTTAAGACAAAGATCTGATTTTTTTTTTTTTTTTGATTCTTTTTCTATAGTCCTAATTTTTCAATTTCATGATGGCATGGGCTTTCTGTCTCTGACATACACTGTGAGGCCTTGAACTAACAAACCTTGTTAGTGGGTGTATCTTGAGGATAAGGTGTTTTGCAACCCAAAAGTAGATCTATTTCAAAAGTACATAGTCAATTAGTGACTGGAGCGCATCTTCCACAGTGTAAGACCTAGAATCAGACCTTTTCAATGGATGTACCAGATATCTATGAGGGTAAGTGTTTCATGACCCAAAAAGGTCACAGTGATCACCTCATTTTGAGAACTTATAGCTATACATACTATGGAATTATTTAATTTTGTGGGAGGTCAATATTTTTACTTGATTCATCTTAGGGGAGAAATGATTTGGAACCAAAAACATAAGACATAGTGATCTTTGATAAATAACTCCAGCTTCCTCCAATCTATTCCAGTTCACCCCCTTTGTCTGTCATATTACATAATTCAGTACAGCGTGGAGATGCAGTGTAGAGATAGGGTAAAGAGAAACTGTCACCTACACTTACAGATCGTGAGGAGCTGGCTACAAATTCTCCTGCCTTGTTGTACAGCTGTAACTTCACCATAAACATTCCTACAATGTTAAAAAGAAATGATACGTAACACAGAAGTGCTACTATAAATAAACACAATTCTCCTTTATTTATTTTTTCAATTTATTCTTTATACTGTATTTTAATTTTGCTTTTGTGTGTTATTCATTTAGTAAGTAATTTAAAAAAAACCTCTTTTTTTTCTATTACAGCAAAAATGTTACAACTTTAGTAGAAAATGAAAACTAAAAATGCTTTTATGTGCATTCATTTACCTGTAAATAAATGAATAATAGAAATTTAATGTTTAAAACTTTTTTGATTAGAAACATCGATATACTCAGCAGCATAAATCCACTAACAAAATTTATCTCAATGTATAAAAATTCTAGAAATTAACTTCATGTACAGAAAAAAAACATGGATACATTGATGCAGCACTTTTATTTTGTTCATGTTGTTTGCATCTATTTCTTTCGCCATATGTTTGTGATAATGATATACCTACCCAATTCCTTGTTTATAGGAGACTCTGGGAGCTCTGTTTCCATTTTGATTGTGTATGTTTCTCCTCTTGCAAACACCTTGAGAAGAGAAAATGAGATTTTTTTTTTAAATGAGAAAGAACAGCATAATTCATTGAATGGTGACATGATATAATTTGTACAACACCAATATTCACTGAATTTTAGTTTTAATTCAAAAATTTTTCAAAACCAAAAAATTTGCGAGTAATCAACAGATTGCATTCGCAAAAATATTTAACCACATGAACTCATATAAAAATAAATAACCAATAAGAAATATGTAGGTTAACCAAAAATTCTGGATACAATATTTCAAGACATAAAAAGATGGTTTAACTAATTAAGAAGTAAAAAAATTTTGAATAATTGAACTTTATAAAATTATATACTCAAAAATAATGTTTTGCACTAGCCGAGGGGGCTAATGCTTCTATTGGTTGTCAAAATGTGATGAAGTCCTTAATATTGAGATAACAGTACGATAATCATTGAGAGTGGTATTGCTAATGTAAATTTACGGAAATATTCATTGTTATATGGTGACATGATATAATTTGTATCAACCACCAATATTACACCTTGAATTTTAATTTTTTATTATAAAAAGTAAATTGATTCAAAACCAAAAAATAAAATAATAACTCAAAAATAATCAACAGATCTTCTATAAAACAAGTTAGTTATTAATCAATTTGTAGCTTTGGCCATTAGATGGATTCAATAACATTGGTAAAATACATAGAACTCATATAAAACAGTCAACATTTTTTTTTTAACCAACAGGAAGAATGTGATTGAAAAGTCTTTTAAAGAGGGATAAAAGTGGCAGTCATATTGCTGTAGGTTAACCAAAAATTCAGAAAATCTTGAACAGATACACATTTTTTTTTTCCTGTTACAAAAGAATCCTTCATAACAAAAGAAATGGTTTAACTAATTAAAAATATTAAAAACATGAACACATGTATTCTCACAAGTCCTTTGAATAATTGAGCACATCGTTATAGATCTGAAATTTAACTTTCTTGTATACCCCAAAGGGAATAATGTTTTGCACATTAGCCGAGGATGGGCTACAAATATAACTTCTATTGGTTGTCAAAATGTGATGTAAAAATTAAAGACACTTGAAATTTTTGAGATAACAGTACGATAATCATTGAGAGTGGTATTGCTAATGTAAAGATAAAATGTTTCATTGTAGTTTTATTTTAAATATGTGTACATGCAGTGTAAAAAATGTTACACATATAATTTTCCCATAACTTTTTGAAGATAGTTTTCTGCAGCTCACATATCACACCTGGATTTGAGTAATCAAAAAATTACGACCCTTGATCATATTGATTTTCCTGGAATTTGAATACAGGAAATAAATATATTTTAATGGGGTTTTTTTGTGTTTTTTTTTTTTTTTTTTAGGCCAGATTACCTTTTTTTTAATGTAATTAAAAACTGATTACACCTTGACAATAATCTAATTTTTTATTATAATTTTTTTCTTTACTGTAAATTAGAAAGTGTCAACGTTCCCAGTAAAATTTTGCCTAAAATACAACTTAAAAAGTTTTCCTATATATTTCTATGTAAAACTTTGGTTATTTTGGCCACACCATCATGAGGCATCTGTAATTTAAAACAAGTTAAAGATTTTTTAGATTTTTCCTATATACAGTAAAACAGGTTATACCCCCGGGGGGCTTTGGCAACATTAGATGGATTCATGAGATTCATCATTGGTCTTGAGAAGAAATAAAGATTTTTCCTATATAATCCTATGTAAAAGAGCACCTGACCAAAATTCATGGTTCAAGGAATCAAAAGGGCACTTTGTGGCCCCGAGGGCACTTTTAAAACAAATGTATTAAAATGTCTTTATAAAGATTATATTAATCATTAATTTTTACATACTTTAACATTTTTAATTACCTTTTTCCTTTCATCATGTTCATACTGAAATCATTTAAACAAGTAATTTAAAGTGTCATTTTTTTAAAAATATCAACACAATTAGCACACCTGGGGACAGAATTATGAAACAAAAAAGGATATAAAAAAGGCACTTACATCCAATTTCTTTAATCAAAAAAGTAGTAAAGGAGAAAAAAGGAAACAGTCAAAAATTATTAAAGTTTGGAGGTATGCTAACTGTGTTATTTGTGATAGTCAATTTAAAAAAACTTTTTTCAGCATTTTGAAAAATACATGTAGAGCACCTGGAAAAATACCAACAGGATAAAGTGAAAATACTCCCAATATATTTTGTTAAAAAAAAAATCTTTAATTAGAAACAGGTCAGTTCAATCAAAGAAACTAACTTAACATTTTTTTCTCTCCTGTTACAAAATTTCCTTCTGAATACTTCATAACATGTAAATTGAAATAACAAATTGCTGTCTTTAATCCAATCAATTGCAGTTTTCAAGTTAAATCCTCTACCTGACAGCCTGAGGCATGTTAATTAGCCCTCTGTGTTTACGTAAAGTTATATTATCGTTGTGTAAACAAAGGGATTATGAACACATGCACTGAATAAACAGAACAGCAAAGGAATATTCTAAACTGGGCATATTTAGTAATTTTGAAAAGTAGGGCATGGTGTGGAAAAAAGGGAATTAGCTAAAAATATACAACAGGTCCATGCTAGTTTGCTTTAGATTTAACACTACCCGTAGCTGAACAAATTAATACACTACCTAGGATGATTCCACATGAGTTTCATCTTTTTTATGGCCCAAATTCTTGAGAAGCTATTTTTAAAGACCTACTTTTTATAAAACTTTCTGGCCATTTTGCGCCCTACCCCCACAAAGAACAAACTTCAATCTACACTTGAAGTGAATACCATATCTTTCCTGATACAGTCACACTGAGAAGATTTTTAAAGATTTTTCCTATATATTCCTATGTAAAACATTTTGGCCAAAAAATGATTGAACAATCTTCAATCTACACTACCTGAGGGATTCCAATTTTACATTAGTTTCTATGCAAAATTGATAAAGATTTTTCCTATATAATCTATGTAAAATTTTTTGGCCAAATTTTTGTCATATACCTTAGGATCATCATGAGTGTGACTGTATCTTGAGAAGAAGATTTTAAAGATTTTTGCTATATATTCCATGTTGTGGCCATTTTGGCCCTGCATTTGGCCACAAAGTGCAAGTAAAGCAGTTTCAAAGTTCTTGAGAAGAAGTGCCACCAAAAAAATATCTACTTTGAGGGCGTGGCCCTTATTTAAATACCTAGGTACTTTGTGGCAAGTATTAATAGCTATGTGAAAAGTTTAGACAGACGGTACAGACAGACAGACGGTCTTTGGACTGGACCTGTACAAGGCAAATAATAATCATTGTTTTTATAACTTAGGAAGTAAATGTCATTAAAAAGGCAATATCAACAATAAGAAAAACACATTTGAAAGACCTTCTGAAACTTACCTGAACTGTAAATTAACAGGTTTAGTTAGAGACACAGGGGGCATATAGGCGAAATAAAAGCTCCCATATAAGAAGGCCGAAAACCACAGTAAAATTGCAAACACAGTAATGAACACGACAATTCTTGTGATAAAATCTTTCAACTTCGATAGCGTAATGTCAAAAGATTCTTTAAGCCATCCTAGAATATTGTATACAAACATTAAAATCATTGTTTTTAATTTTTCACATTCACGCAAAGCACTTTGTACCGGAAGTTGAAAGTTATTTAACAAATCAGTCAATGAATATTTCGTCTTTTTCATAAAAGGTTAAATTTTGAAAAATATTTTGCTTTAAGAAGAATAGACAATACATATAATAATATTTTGTCTTTTGTCATCATTTTAAATTCCTACTGCTTATAATTTAAAATAAAGCTTCATAAATGAATGAAATTCTACGTACAAATTAACAAAAACAGTTCTGAAAATATTTTCGTATTTTTCAAATCAAATGAAACCGTGAGAAGTATTTTTGTCAAAGCCTATATTTATTTTATGTCTTTTTTACAAGAAATAATTTGACTAAATTAAGTTGGATTTAAAATCATATATTTTTATATACGAAAATACATTTCCGCCATATTTGAGAAAAAGAACGAAAATGATCGAAGACTCAAAACAAAGTAGATTCTTTCGACTTTTGTAAACACGTGATAATTACAAATCAGGGAATTAAGATTTTGTCAGTAAAGCCCTAAAGGTAAAGATTTAAAAGTATTTTAAAGATAATTTTAATGCCTATACTGGTAGTGGTGTTGATAAATCATTGAATGAACTGAATGCTGACTGTTGTTGAAATTAGCTAGTTACTGAAGGATATGATTCTGTTATTATTGATAATGAGAAATAAAATTGTTTTGTAAACTTTTCAGCGTTTAACTTGGAATAAAACATTGTTGCTAACCTGCTAACTTTTTTTCAAAGTTACTTTCCTGCTAAACATTCATAAAAATTAAAATTTTTCATAGAAAACCACGTTCGAATTTTTCTATTTTAGTTGTAGTCATGTCATTAGAACAAACTAAAAGCTATCCAGGGATCACATCCCCGATTAGTTTGGAGGGACCAAAACCACTGGACCTGAAACTCTCTGAAAAGCTAGAGGAAGCCATGAGACCACACGGAGTGTTTGAGAGTGAGGCAGAAATGTCTCATAGGTAATTTATCTACATGAACCAGTGTCATTTTAAAATAACAGAGACTCGCAACTCAGCCAGAGGTTTACTTGCCAAAAGATGTCTCATTTGTGACAATTAATTGGTTTTATATTTGATCTAAAGTCATACATGTTAACCTATTGTGATGAAAAAGAGGGAGATTCAGACCTCAAAAGCGGTAGCATTGCGCGCGTGTTGTTTAACGCTTGGATTATCGATATCTTTCATGTAATATACATGTATATTATAAGCCTTAAATGAAATCAGGTACCTACACTTATTAATCTTAAATAGCAACAGCAAAGAAGAAGACAGAAACACCTTAAGTTTGACATAAATTTTACAAATTCAAATATTTTTTATGCTCATCATTTTGCTTGGATTGGCTGCTTTACTTAGCCTTTTGAAGAGTGATCTTTGCTGATATAGCCTAGAAGCAATAAAATGTTCATTCAGTTTTTAAACAAAACAATTGATGACATGGTTTAATCTAGATCTAAAACAAGTTCCTATCTTTCGTTATATAAATCAGATTTCCCGCGATGATCGAAAACGAAAGTAGAGATGTGCCACATGGCTTGGTCAATCGTGTGATTTCTATTGACTTTATTGATAAAGTTGTGAGCTTCTGTGCTTTTAAAGACGATGTCAAATGTTTTAATCTAATTCTTAAAAGCTGTATCTCCTTTTTCATGGCAGGGATGTTGATTAATTTATCGTAACCAATGTAATCACTGGTAGTCTTGTGTTGTTGTCGTTGTCAAATCCGTGCTTGAAATCTATGTACAAAAAAGCGTTTGTATGATTCCGAATCAAATCACGCGATATAGCGAGATTTTATGAGATTGGCAATGGATACCCAAGCGAACCAAAAATACTTCAGACGCAGTTTTTGTAGAAAAGCGGTAGATTTCTGAATTAAATCGGTAGGCGGGAGATGGAGTGAAAAAGCGGTAGTCCCGCCTAAATCGGGAGAGTTAACATGTATGCTAAAGTTGACTTAAAATTTCATCTTATATACTTGAGGGCATGACTGATCTTTGTTCTTTAGCTCTTCTGAGCCAAAGGCTCAAAGAGCTAATGCTATGCCCATTTGTGCGTCGTGCGGTGTGCATTAAATTTTTAGAATATGGGCCGTAACTCAAGAACCCCTTGGCCAATCATTGTCAAATTTGTCATGGGGTATCCTTGGCTTAAGGGCTACTATTTATACTAAAACTAGGGGTGGGACCCTAAAAAAGGGGAGAATCAGGAAAATAAAACCCAAAGTACTTGTTGTTAAAAAATCTTCTTCTCCAGAACTTCCAGGCAGATTTTCACCAAACTTACATACAAGGGTCAGGATATGTTGAAGATTAGAAATTGTTCAAGGCATGACCCTGGGGCAAAGGGCATGGTCTCAAGGTCACTTCAAAGTTGATCAAAATTTACACATAATAAAAACATTGTTATAGATAGTTTTTGATGGACCTAATTTTAGCAAAAGTTATCTCCCGTTGGTCGCCATATTGGAGGTCAACTCGGTGAGTTTTCCTCATTGTCTTACCAAGTTTAAGAAAACATAGCAGAAATATTTGGTGGAAAATCTTTATTAAATTTTTTTTTTAAATAAAGGAGGCTTCCAAAAAATTATATACTTCAGAAAAATAATGATTCCTAATTCAAAATCGCAAATATAAAAATTTAAAATTGGTTGAACAATGAAGCAATATGAGCATTTGGACCTCCAGTATGGCTGCCAATGGGAGGTAACTTTTGCTAAATTTAGGTCAAGTGAAAACCATCTAATTTTGCCTACTTTAAAGACTAGGATCATCAAATTTGTAAGTTGATGCATCTTAGGACTTCACATCATGTTGACACAAAAATAGGTCACGGTGACCTACTTTTTGAATTTTTCGAGATTTTGTTTTCAAATTGATTTGGAGGCATATTTTGGACACTTTAAGTCCTATGATCCTCAAACTTTGTCAGTTCATGCATCTTGGGTCCTAGAATAACATCACCTTAAAAGTAGGTCACCGTGACCTACTTTTTCAGACACTGAGAGGTTTAGAACCATGAAATCTTGTAAGTTGATGCATCTTGGGGCCTTAAAACATATTTTTGAAAAAGTAGGTCACTGTGACCTACTTTTTGAATTTTGCGGGCATTTGTTTTCAAATTGTTTAAAAGGCATATTTTGAATACTTTCAGACCTATGATCATCAAACTTTGTCTGTTGATGCATTTTAGGTCTTCAGAAAATGTCGCCCAAAAAGGAGGTCAAGGTGACCTACTTTTGATATTTTATGGCTATATTTAAGTATCTTAGGTACTTATTGGCTTAGAATCATCAAACTTTGTCAGTTGATGCGTATTGGATCTTCAGAAAATGTCAACCAAAAAGTAAGTCACTGTGACCTACTTTTGACATTTTATGGCTATATTTATCTTATGTACTTATTGGCTTGAATCATCAAACTTTGTCAGTTGATGCAACTTGGGTTTGTGGAGAACGTCAACCTAAAATTAGGTCACGGTGACCTAGTTTTGAATTTTTATGGCTATATTTAAGTATCTTAGGTACTTACTGGCTTAGAATCATCAAACTTTGTCAGTTGATGCAACTTGGGTTTAGGGAGAACATTGACCAAAAAGTAGGTCACAGTGACCTAGTTAAGAATTTTATGGCTATATTTAAATATCCCAGGTACTTATTGGCCTAGAATTGTTAAACTTTGCCAGTTGAGACATCTTGGTTTTTCTGAGAATGTTGACCATAACGTAGGTCACAGTGACCTACTTTTGAATATTTCAGGTACTTATTGGCTTAGAATCATCAATCTTCGTCAATTTATGCATCATGATTCCTCAGAAAATTTTAAAATCAAAAAGTAGGTCACCATGACCTACTTATGGTATTTTATAGCTATACTGAAATTATCAAATATCTTCAGCCCTAACTGGGTAAGAATCATCAAACTTTGTCAGTTCGTGCATCTTGGAATACTTAGAGTTAGAGACTTCAAATAGAAGGGATAGATTGTACAATTTATCAGGAGAGCAATTCAAGGCCCTTGGGCCTCTTGTTATTTATAAATTTATAGAGGAAAGTCCAAAAACAAATGCTTGTATGTATACTGTATACAGGGGAATTTTCGCCCTCGTTTTGTTTTCGCCCCTTTCTCCCTATCCTCATTCACGCAAATTTAAAAACGGGGTGAATTCAAATAATACAGCATAATTTCTTAACAAAACTATGACTGGGCGAATTTAAAACGGGGCTTAGTTGTTTGCAAATGTGAAAGGGCGAAAATAACACGGGGCGAAAAGAACCCTGTATACAGGATACCAAAAAGCATAAGATGATAATCCAGTGATGATTTGGTTGATACAGCATAAGTTATTCATATTTGATGATTTCTAGAACATTATAATAAAGACTGTTTCCTTTTTTTGCTAATAAAAAAGAATATATTTTGTTAATAAAAAAGAATATCATATATAAGCATATATTTAATATAGATCTTTGCACTTAAACCATATGTTTATATGAGAGCAAAATTTCACTTTTATAGTCTTAAGACTTTTTTTTTTTTTTTACATGACGCACTTTAACACATTTAATAATGTAAGCTTATTCCCTTCAAACAGAATGGAAGTATTACACAAAATCAATACACTGGTCCGAGATTGGATTAAGGACGTCAGCAGACAAAAGGTATAGCTATGTTAATGTAATTAACAAATTAAAAATGATATTCTGATCATCAACATGGCACAGGGCAGGCAGGACAGAATTACTTAAAATGTAATCAATTTATGATCAATTACTTACAGGAATTCTGTGTTATCAATTATACATGTAATAAAAGTTATATTTAAAGAAAGTATCATAATACATGTTATACTGCTTGACTATCATGATATGTATTTATTACTTCAAGAAAAGACCATGGATTCACAATTAATATTCCTATAAAAGTTATGTATTCATCTCCAAAAATTACACTTCTCTTTAAAAATTCCATTTATTTTGTACACAGAATAATTATCCAGAAGACAAAATTGATGCTTTTGGTGGCAAGGTGTGCACATTTGGTTCTTACAGACTTGGAGTTCATACAAAAGGTAAAGATCATATACAAGTACAATGTAATATACACTTTGTTTATTATTATTGCAAATTACTTGGTAAATCAGACCTCTTTTTTTGTGGTAGGTGCTGATATAGATACTTTGTGTGTTGCGCCAAGACATGTTGAAAGGACAGACTTTTTCACCTCATTCTTTGAAATTTTGAAGAATACCCCAGAAGTCAAAGACTTGAGAGTGAGTTTTTTAATAAATGACTAGTCTTTAGAGGAGCACCAATCTTAATGCCATGGCAGATTGAAAATAACTGTTTTTCATTTAAATTGATTTAAAACGAGTATTTTGACAAGGACTAGGTGAAAATATTGAAAAAGAGGAATATGGATTGTGTGAATTTATTCAAGTTTTTAAGTACAAATTTGATTATGGGATTGGCCATTTGTTACAATTATCAATAAATAAACTAATGTATACAATGTTTTCTTCAGGCGGTAGAAGAGGCCTTTGTCCCAGTCATTAAGATGACTTTTGATGGCATTGAGGTAAACACAAAGACTATATTTAGAATGTTCCCAAATATTTATTTCACAGAATTCAACAAGCAATTAACAGGGTTTTTTTAAAACAAGTTTTTTAACCAGTCATTAAAATTGTCTGATTGATTTTGATGATAGCATGGAGTACGAGGGTTGTTAGAAAAGTTCGCGGACACATTGAATTACGGAAAATCTATTGTGTACTGTGAAGTATGACCTATGTCTTAATTAATTCCTACATTTTGTTTATTTGCATGTAAAAAATCAAGTCCATTTACTACAATTTTGAAAATTTACAACGATTTTTACTATGAGATCATGGGATTCACGGAGCAATCACTTGACGTAAGGCGTCGTGACAGCCAGATTTCAACCCGTTAAGCTTTGTCGCAGTTCATTAAATCTTTGATTTTTTCCATATTTTTCTTATCTTTTTTTCTACTCTAAATTTGAATATCTAGGAACACATGTTACTTTTCTACTATAATGTTTTTTGAACTGATTTGGTAATTATTGAGATCTTTGGGAAAGAAGTCTATTTAGTTAATCGATCAGGTATGGAAACTATGCAAAACCATAAAGGCACAACGTCCATGCAATAAAGGGGTATTGAAGTATCGATGGGGTTAATCATTCAAAATGTTAATCCTTACATTCTTATAAAGCTACAACCATTTGAAAACTTTTGTCCTTTGTATGTGTAGGAAATTCCCGGCAGCATCTTGCACATTTTAATTTCTTATTAGACATTTTCCTGTCTGCATACATAATTTTTACGTAGCGCAGTGCTCCATGACGCTCAATGACGTTCCGATTTTTGGCTGTGTTTTTATGCGTTGATTATTTATAAATGGCTATAAAACAGTCATATACCCTCCAATTTGATCCAAAATTTCTCCCAGTGATGTTTCATGAATACTTTTGCGACAGGTAAAATATCACAAATCTCTTTGCGCTACAATTGTGCAATTTTTAATTTTAATAAAGAGTTTATGTGATGTAAACGTGCCAAAATGTAGCATGCTCCGTGAAGCAAGATTTATCAAAATAAAACAGCTGTATATTTTTCAGTTAGCACCGGAGAGCACCAAAGTTTTGTATATATATTGGAAAATAGGTTAAGATTTTATCTGAAAAGTTTGACTGGTTTCGTGAAAATAGCGCGCTCACAATAGAACTTGTCCGCGAACTTTTCTAACACCCCTCGTATGTTTAAAGAAATTCCATCTCTGAACTCGAGGGGGGGGATGTAAAAGTTAATTTAAAACCCAGACAATAACTGACTGATCTGATTAATGATCTTTTCAGCTTGACATGTTGTTTGCCAGGCTTGCTCTGCCACAGATTCCAGAGGACATTGATCTTAGAGACGAAAGTATGCTCAAAAACCTCAATGAAAAATGTGTCCGAAGTCTGAACGGTCAGTATGTTGTCTAACAACTTTGATGGATTATTTTAGATTAAACTTTATATTGACTTTGATATTTAAGAAAAAAATGGATATGTCAAAATGAGTTGAAAGTCTCACTCAATCTTTTTTTTTTTTATTTAACATGGATATCTTGAAGTTTTTTTTACAGTTGCATTGAGTTCAAGAGATGAAGTTTGACTGTGCTTGTACATGTTTTTATCAGCTGTTTTTTCATAGTGTCTGTTTATTAATTTCAGGGTGTAGAGTAACTGATGAGATATTGCATCTTGTACCAAACAAGCACAGCTTTAGAATGGCACTGAGAGCGGTAAAGCTTTGGGCTAAAAGTAAGTCATCCACTGTATTGACTTCTGTTCTATTTTGAAGTCATCTAACTTAACTGAGGTAAACCAGTACAATTTAATTCTATTAAACAGTGGTTGAACTTCTTCAGATTCAAATTATGATCGTCTTATAGACTAGAAAAGGCACCAAGCTTGTTTGATTGGGGGTGACTAATGAATTAAATAATAAAAAAGATTATGAACTGAGACTTTATGTTGACATGATTTTACTTGTGTGTTCTAGAGAAGGGTATATACTCCAATGCTGTGGGATTCTTGGGTGGTGTCTCCTGGGCCATGCTGGTGGCCCGAGTCTGTCAGCTGTACCCTAATGCAGCTCCCGCTACTCTACTGCACAAATTCTTCATGATCATCCATAAATGGTAAAAGAAATCTTGTGTTATGTTAACTTGGTTACTGAATTAAACAGTATTCGAATTATGTTTGTGAGAATTCATTTAAAATCATATTTAAATAAAAAAATAAATTAAGTATGTGGCTTGATGCATAAAGTTTCTAAACAGTGTAATGATTTTCTCTCAAAAATATACATATTATGAATTTTGCAGGGAATGGCCTCAGCCTGTGTTATTAAAACCCCTACAGCATGAGAACAAATACAATCTCTCATTTCCTGTTTGGGACCCCAGAGTGAGTATATCTAACAAATACAACCTTTCATTTCCTGTGTGGGACCCCAGAGTGAGTATGTCTAACAAATACAATCTCTCATTTCCTGTTTGGGACCCCAGAGTGAGTATATCTAACAAATACAACCATTCATTTCCTGTGTGGGACCCCAGAGTGAGTATATCTAACAAATACAACCTCTCATTTCCTCTGTGGGTCCCCAGAGTGGGTATATCTAAGGAGTTCTCCATAGATGTTAATTGATCCAGTAGTACAGTTGTCTGGATGTTATAAAGTTTAGTAAAATAAAGTAATGTATACAATCCCAGCTTAAAAGTAGATTACATTCAGATCAAAATAAACTACTGAGTATTCCATTTTTAAATGGCTTTGGATATGGTTTGGGAATAGAGACTAATAGTAAGTAGAGTTGATTTAAGTTTTGTCTTCTTGTAACAGGTAAACACGTCAGACAGATTTCATCTGATGCCCATCATCACCCCCGCCTACCCCCAACAGAACTCCACCTTTAATGTCACCCTTTCCACACGCAGTATCATGACAGAGGAGCTCAAAGGCGGTGAGAACATTCACACATCTCATTACCTGTACAGTCTAGGAGGATTTATAATTGTAGTTCTCTAGCTTTTAGGGATTGTTAAAGTTCAACCAATGAAAATGTCTAAAAAATAGAGTGAAAAAATATAATTGCAATGGAATTAAACTTAGGAACAGTATTTAAACAATGAACAGTTTGGTACGTGAAGAAAATCAGTCTTATTAAATGTTGATTTCATTTACAGGGCTAGAGATTGTTAGTAAAATTTATGAGAATAAAGATGGCTGGAGCACACTTTTTGAGCCCTCCAACTTTTTCCAGAAGTACAAGTATGTTGAATTTATTGTCAACTCTTTAAATTGTTCAAATGCATTTCAATCGTCATAAGTTCATGAAGGATAATCAATAAGAAATAGAGGTAAATTAAGGTTAAGGCACTAGTTGGTTCTTTGATTAAAGAAAGATTCATCATATTCAGTCTGTATAATCATTTTTAGCTCTCCTGAGCTGAAAGCTCAAGTGAGCTTTTCTGATCACATTTTGTCAGGCGTCCGTCTGTCTGTCTGTAAACTTTTCACATTTTTGACTTCTTCTCAAGAACCGCTGGGCCAATTTCAACCAAACTTGCCACAAAGTATCCTTGGGTGAAGGGGATTCAAGTTTGTTCAAATGAAGGGCCACGCCCTCATTCAAGGGGAGATAATTGGGAATTCATGAAAATTTGGTGGTATGCTTTAAAAATCTTCTCCTCAAGAACCACTGTGCCAGGAAAGATGAAACTTATGGGGAAACATCCACAGGTAGTGTAGATTCAAGTTTGTTCAATTCATGACCCCCGGGGGTAGGGCGGGGCCAAAATGGCCGACCAAAGTTTTACATAGAAATATATAGAAAAAATTCTTTAAAAATCTTCTTCTCAAGAATGACAAAGCCATAATTCATCATATTTATATGGAAACATCCTCAGGTAGTGTAGATTCAAGTTTGTTCAAATCATGACCCCCAGGGGTAGGGCGGGGCCAAAATGGCCGACCAAAGTTTTACATAGAAATATATAGGGAAATTCTTTAAAAATCTTCTTCTCAAGAATAGCTAAGCCATAATTGATCATATTTATATGGAAGCATCCTCAGGTAGTCTAGATTCAAGTTTGTTCAAATCATGACCCCCGGGGGTAGGGCGGGGCCACAATGGCCGACCAAAGTGTTACATAGAAATATATAGGAAAATTCTTTAAAAATCTTCTTCTCAAGAATAGCCTAGCCAAGATTGATCATATTTACATGGAAGCATGTTCAAGTAGTGTAGATTCAAGTTTGTTCAAATCATGACCCCGGGGGTAGGGCGGGGCCAAAATGGCCGACCAAAGTTTTACATAGAAATATATAGGAAAATTCTTTAAAAATCTTCTTCTCAAGAATAGCCTAACAATAATTGATCATATTTATATGGAAAAAGCCATTTTCCTACCCTTAGGTAGTGTAGATTCAAATTTGTTCTTATAAAGTGTGCATTTTTTGACAGACCCGGGGGTAGGGCAGGGCCACACTGGCCGACCAAAGTGTTACATAGAAATATATAGGAAAATTCTTTAAAAATCTTCTTCTCATGAACAGCCAAGCCATAATTGAACATTTTTATATGGAAGCATCCTCAAGTAGTGTAGATTCAAGTTTGTTCAAATCATAACCCCCGGGGGTAGGGCGAGGCCAAAATGGCCGACCAAAGTGTTACATAGAAATATATAGGGAAATTCTTTAAAAATCTTCTTCTCAAGAATAGCCAAGCCATGATTGATCATATTTATAGGGAAGCATCCTCAGGTAGTGTAAATTCAAGTTGGTTCAAATCATGATCCCGGGGGGTAGGGCGGGGCCACAATGGCCGACCAAAGGTGCTCAGGTGAGCGATGTGGCCCATGGGCCTCTTGTAAAGATATATACAGTGGAGCCTCATTTATCCGGACGCTTTGGTTCCCAGTCAATTTGTCCGGATATGTGAAGCATCCGGATATCTGAATCACCAATTAAACAAGACAAAGTAACATTTAAAAATTTCGTTCCGATGAAAAATCGTCCGGATACTGAAGCATCCGGATATCTGGCGTCCGGATATCTGAAGGTCCACTGTATAGGAAAATTCTTTAAAATCATTTTCTAAAAAATAGCAAATCCATGATTGGTCATGGGACTACTTTTGGATTTAAACTTTACAGTAAAAAGCCATTTTCTACTTTTTCCTACCCTTAGTGCTCAGGTGAGTGATGTGGCCCATGGGCCTCTTGTTATTTTTAGTAGTAATTCATTCTTATAAAGTGTGCATTTTTTGTATTACAGACACTATATAGTTTTAACAGCAAGTGCTCTGGAGGAGGAGCACTATTTAGAGTGGTAAGCCAAGATATTCTGACTTATTGTTTATCTAGCTGTTTTTCAATTATTTAGGATTCATAAATCTGATTGTCATTAATCTCACTTCACATTTTCACAGGAATGGCTATGTGGAATCAAAAATCCGATTACTGGTGGGGAATCTAGAGAGGAACCCATGTATAAAACTGGCACACGTAAACCCCTCCCCACTAGGTCCACTAAATGAGAGGTTAGTATATGTACAGTCAGTATAAAACTGGTACATGTAAACCCCTCCCCACTAGGTCCACTAAATGAGAGGTTAGTATATGTACAGTCAGTATAAAACTGGTACATGTAAACCCCTCCCCCACTAGGTCCACTAAATGAGAGGTTAGTATATGTACAGTCAGTATACATGTTAAAACCTACGGAGGCATTGAACAGGCAGTTTAGTAGAAAAATAAGTAGTAACACCCCTCCCCACTAGGTCCACTAGATGAGAGGTTAGTATATGTACAGTCAGTATACATGTAAACCCCTCCCCACTAGGTCCACTAAATGAGAGGTTAGTATAGGGAAGGGCCAGAGTAAAAGTTCAGTCATCTTGTTAAGCACATGTATTTGTTCTGAAAAGCTTAAGGTTTACTCTGTTATTGCGTGTATGACAGTGAAATCAATTTTGCTATGAATTAGGCAGGTTCTGTATTTAATTATTTTTTATGATTTTAGTGATGGAAAACACTTATGCAGATGGTTCATTGGACTGACCTTTGTAAAAATTGAGAATCAGAACCAGAATGTCGACTTGACCTTTGACATACAGTCTTTTACAAACACAGGTAAGAGTTTATTTTACATAACAAAGAGGTAACTTGCTGAGAAATTCAGATAAGTATACATTGCATATAACGTAATTTACGGAATATAGGTCGATACTTTTTTTCTCAGAACCGCTGGGGTCACCCAATATACAGAATTTGACCTATTTAAGGCTCAAGTTTACGAAAAATGCCCCCAATCAGTAAAATTTACGTCAATTTCAATGCAAATTTGTGCCACTTTCGTAACTTTTTTGACCATTTTTCACAAAAAATTAATGCACCGGTAAACAATAAAATATTTATTCTATAGCTTTCTTACAAAATAAATTCCATTAATTATCCGTTGATGACAAAGGAAAACAACATTGCTTCATCTGTTAAATAATTCCTGAACGTATTGTCCATTAACATCATGCGCTATCCATCTTGTGAAGTTAGGAAGTTGCGATCATGTACTAAAAGTAAAACCGCAATCGTATCAAAATTTAAAATACGGAAATTTTTCACGATCACAACTGTAGTGTTTTTACCATCTATTAGTAGCGATAAATTGAAATAGTATAATACTAATATAATATTTTTTATTGTCTTATGTTTATTTAAATGTAAAATTAGTGAAATAATTTGTTGCCATTCAATTCCTAAATTTAATTACCAAAAAAAAACCGCTAGTCATTACTGTTTTTTTTTTTTAATTTTGATTAATTATAATACCGTTTTCTAACAGAATTTTAATTGTCTGACAGATAAAGGGATTTACACTTGCACGCAAAGGTGTTAACACCTGTGTTAGTTTAAATGCCTGTGGGGCATGATTAAGAAGCCCACGTGCTGTTATAGGGTATTAGTGTTACACATCATTGAACAAACAAAGCCGTGAAATTCATGTTGACAGTCAAATTGTGAATGTACTCTCAATTAAATATATAAATCAAACTTATAGAGTGTTAATATGATTTCAATTCTTTACTGTTGCTTGATATATACATTCAATGGTCATTTGCGTGTTTTAGCAAATCCCTGGAGAAGAAAACTAAAAATGGCGGACATCGAAGTAATTATCGTCCACCGGTAAATAATGTCTGAATAAAATTTATTAGGAATGTATCCAAGTTGTTCTGAAATCGGAATTACTATTTTTTGGTCTCGGGTATTTCCGGAATATAATTAAATAATAACATATTTACGTGTTATTTATACCTCTGATTTAACAACAGTGTGAAACTACGGAGGCATTGAACAGGCAGTTTGGAGAAAAATAAGTAGTTTTAACAACATTTTTTTAAAAAAACTTTATTTATATGCTGTACTCATTAAAATACCTGTTTATTTTCTTGATACGTTCATGTCACGGAATAACCGCTGTAATTTTAGGGGTTTACCTGTTCTGATACATTGTATCTGCGTAAGAATCTTTAGAAAATGGGAAACAAAGCCTCGTCCTATATAGTTAGTTCGTCCTATCTTAGAATTTTTCAAAAATTAAGGCTGAAAACAAGCCTTTCGACCTATATACCCCATCGACCTATAATCCCGAAATTACGGTACATATAGAACCAATGGATTACATCATTACAAATAATTAACTGGTAACTTGTATAAAGGTGTTTTTGCATTATTGTACTCTGCTTCCAAACACTGACAGACATTCCATTTTAGTTTGGGTCTGTATGAATGTACATGTGCATTTAGTTATTATGATAAGGTTACAAGAATGAAGTAGGATTCGATCTTTACGAAATGTCTAACTGAAATCTTTATTACTCTCTCCTAGTTTTTTGTCTCCGGAAACCTGTTAAAGATTAAGAAATTGTCTTTTAATATGTGATTTCCAAATCAAGAGAATTAGGATGAATTCATAACTGTTCTGCTAATTAAAATGTTTTTACTGGGTAATATCATAGATTTTTTCATTATAGTTCATAAACATGCATACCATATCAAACTCATGAAAGACGGAATGAAAGTAGAAATCAAACATGTAAAAAGGTGAGTTAAGTACTAAATAGTTTACACATGAATTTGTTTAACAGAGAGGTTGATGTTTAAAAGAGAGGTTGATGTTTAACAGAGAGGTTGATGGAATTAAAAACAAAACTGTCTATATTTATTTTACAGGAAGCAATTGGATCTCTATGTACCACAGAAAATATTACTACAGTGTAAAAGGGCAGCTGCAGCACAGGTATAGAGATGACTGTGGAATCATTCTAATTCTTGGGGGGGCAATGTATGTGGGGAGGTAAAAAAATTTTGGTTCATGGGGATGTAATTTTGGGTAACTCGTACATACAGAAGCTTCAATGAAATAATTGTTCTTAGGGATATAATTTTTATGGATAAGGGTGACCCACGAAGTCCTTGAACATTGCTCCCCCCCCACCCCCCCCACACAAGCATTGATGATTCTAAAGTAAATGTGAATATTGAAGGAAAAATCAGTAAACTTTGATATGTGCAGTGCACACTTGTATTCAGTTTGTATCCACCAATATTTCAAAAGATTTCTCTTGAAAATTGTGAGTACAGGAGAAAAAATGAGCTTCAGCCAAGAAAAGATTGGGAAGAATTGAGTTTGGTGCCAACATAACAACAATTATTCCAGTTCTTGCAAACATTTTATTCAGAGGAAATTCATAGGCTTTTAACTTTCAAAGCAGGAATATTTATTGAATTTAATTTGATTTTAGGAACACAGGAGTAGTATTGGCAGTGCCTCTAAATCAGAATCGGGTCTAACTCTTCATCATAGTAGGTCCGACACGGAACTGGTCCGGAGTAACTCCATGTCTGTGGATCTGTCAGAGGACCTAAGTCAGGACCCAGAATCCAGCCAGGATGTAGGTCACGACCCAGAGTCCAGCCGGGACATAGGTCACGACCCGGAATCCAGCCGGGACTCAGAGAAGTCCTCCAACTGTTCATCATCCACCAGTAAAGAGGCCATCAATGGGGATATACGCAAGGTAAAAGGAATTACTGTGTACATTTATTGAAAGAGGATATGGTTATGGGTGTTTTGTTGTCTGCTCAGAACTCTGTTCGATGTATTAATTATAGGTCTGGTCAGTGACACACATTGATATCTTTTTCTTCACTATTAACAGGTTGTATCAAACTCCCCTGTTCCCTCAGACAGCTCTATGCAGAGCCCTAATTCTAAACGGGAAGCCAGTCCCACAGGAAGCGAGAGTCCAGTCAAAAGGTCAAGGTCGCAGGATGAGCAGGTTTGATTTCAACTTTTTAAAAAAAAAAAAAAAAAAATCCCATCTATCCAGACACATTGATAATGTGGAAAGTGAAACAAGATTTAATCTTATATTCAGTATTGATCTGTTATTAAGCTGAATATTTTAAAAATAAGAAATTATGTCATGCACAACACTTTGTATAGTCTCAAAGATTACTTTTTACTTTAAAGAATCCATGGCATTGTGGACTTTAAATTCAGAACTGGGCCAAGAATCAAGGAAATGAACCAAAATTTGAGTTAGTTGAGGGATGGAATTATTTGTATTGTTTATGTTTTATCAGAATGTCTTGGGTTCACCAATGCACATAGACAACTCCGCTCTTAGTCCGTGTAGGAAAAGGGAAGGGTCACCCATCAGGCCACACTGTCAGGTCAAGCGGTCAAAATCAGAGGAGGACACCTGTCAGGTATCCTGGCCTGCTGATCATAACACTAACCGGACGGGCATTAAATAAGGGGGAATATGGCTCATGAATTTTCTTCTCTAACTTTATAGACAATATTGTGCATGCAGTAAGATTTTGTTGTAAGAGAACCATGCTTTCTGGTTGAGTCATGGGGTGTAAATAGAGTCTGATGTTTTTTGGCTTAAAATATTGGCAACAAGAAGATAGGATATTAAATGTATATAAGAAAAGAAATCAAAATCAAACCACAGTAGTCACTGCTTGATAAAGGCCTGTATACATATCTGTTAGTGTACTATTTTTAAACACATAATTTGCCCTTGCAATTTCTTCCATCTTTCTATATATTTCTTTGAAATTCTCTCCAGAATTATGCCAGTCTTCCATTATACTTATAGTTCCAATTCCTCAATTTAAATCAGTATTTTTTTCTTTTCATAGGCAATTACAAAGAGATTTACCAAGGGTAATTTGAAATGTACATGCCTGTCACTTATGACAGATGCATACTTATCAATCAACTAAAAGTGAATCTTGAATCTCCAGTCAATTTGTATGATTATTAAATAGTGCACCAACTAGCAAGGCATGGCTGCTCTTGAAGATTAGACCAAAGTGAAACTAGAACAATTTTTCCAGATATGAAATCCTTCATAATACCTGATCACCTTAATCAGCTGTGGTTGTTTTTTTTTATTTATTTAAGACTGCCGTAGAATCTCCCATGCACGTTGATGAAATCACACCCCTGAAACAGGACGAAGGCTCAGAAGTTAAAACTACCAAAATGGTGTCAAATCAGGTAAAATATTTCTTTAGTCATAGTGGAAAAATGATTTCTTTTCAAGTATAGCATACATAAAGTTCCTACTGGGTTTTTCAGTCAGTCTGTATTTTTCTTGCATTTTCTAACTGAATGCCTCAAAGTTTAATTCTTGGCTGCAACAAACAAATTGTCATTTTAATTGCCAAAATAAAAATAGAATCTGCTTTGGCAAATTCTTGTTTTCTGAAAATAAATATTTATTGAGGACCTATTTGCTTTTAAAAAGGAATGTATATTGATGTAAACAACTGTATGTAGAAAACTCCGCTAATCTCATCATCTTACACTGTATTTCAGCATGTGAAGAGACTACCTAGTGCAGATGTCCCGGACTTAATGAGTCCGCAGACCAATCAGAACTTACCCGTGCAGGTGATACCAAATAAAAACATCCGTCTCAAGCTGAAATGATTAAGTGACAACAGACAGGGGGCTAAGTTCCAGTGGCTGTAAGATTGGTCAGTTGTAAAGGAACTGATAAAGGTCGTAATAGTGCTATCCGTTGATTTCATTGTGAAACGAAAGTGCATTGAAAAGAATTAATGAAACAGCTGAGTTGCCAACAATAGTTACAGGTATATAAAGAGGAAATAGGAACTCAGAGTGTCAGAGAAGATATATTCTTCTGTTAAAAAGTGTGTTGTTGATTTTGTATGTCTTGTATGTAACGATAAAATCATTGTGAGTATGTGTGAGTTGTTGTACATTTCTGACATTCAATAAAATCATTTTGAAAGAAAAAACAGGGGTATGAAATCACTGTAAAGTATTCATTTAATAAGGTGTGATCCAGTTCATTTTGTATTTCATGATAGATTAAAGAGAGAACAAAAAATAGTTTTGATAAAAATCATTTGTATATTTTGGCATGCTGAACAGGTACATGTACATGTCATAAGTTAATCAGATTCTATGCTATAATAAGTGTGCAAGATCCATTTTTATTTTCTTTATGAGCCGGCTTCTTGTGTGTATATGCATCATCAAATGATATTTTATTTCATAAATGCCAAAGTCTCATTTGGGTTTTCATCATTTTACCTCTTTTTGTACATTTTCTCGTATTTTCTCCTCTGGTGGGATGGAGGAAGACCCATAGAGTACACATTTTTCAAATTTCAGGGCAACATGTATTATTTGAACTGGGTATTTTGATATAGCTCATGACATTGGTTCAGCATGTTTATTTTGAATTTCACTTAATGGATTAAGGTCATTGTCAAGTTTGTTACCTCTGCTTTCACTCGTTATTCCTCTCACTGTAATAATGAAACACTGTTACACATACAGCTCTTTTGCAGGTTTTAGCTCATCTCAATGAAGTCAGTATGATTTATGATTAGTGTAAGGTTCAGTGTCCGCATCAGAGTGCAAGATTCCAGAGCAAGTTTAAGTAACTATGAACCCTATGTTGTCCAAACTTGTATGAATGCATCTAGCTATTTCTAGACTTTCTTCAGATGCTGGATCTACATTTTATCTGTGATCCTAATTTAGACCAATCTTGCATGGATGATGATGCATTTTGGGATGCACACTTCCATGCCTACTTTGGATGCTGAATTTGACCTAGATTTTCCAGAAATATATTTTGGAGCATGTCCGTTACCAGAGAATTATAATCTCTACCTGGACCAAGCTTGCATTTATTATTTATACATCATCTGTAGATGCACACTACTACTCATGCTTTGGATGCTGGGTCTGAGCTAAGTTTTCCAGATGAGTTACTAGGTCAAAGTTTTTAGAGCAGGTCCATTATGTAGTAATTATTATAAGCTCTAAGTTGACCAAACCTTGTTGTATGATGCAGCTAAGGATGTTCACTACTAACATGCATCAGATGCTGGATTTTGCCTAATCTCATATGTGAATTAAAATTACAAATGTGATGCAGCTAGTGATGCTCACTAGCAAGCTTGCTTAGATTGTTGAATCTGACCTACATTATCCAGTTGAATGAGGGGGTAAGAATTTTTGGAACAGGTCTCATTTCTAAGTAGCTGTAAGCTTTATCTTGGCCAAACTTGCATGAATGATACATCCATAGAAGCACTCTACCAGACTTGCATCTGGCCAATACTTTTTTTATGAATGAATAATAAAAGTTTTTGTAACAAACCTATTCCCAATTAATTATAATAAATAAATGTATTTGTTGAGGCAAGCTTTAAAATCTATGTTGACCTATTTTAATATTAATGAGTTTTTGCATGAAAATGAATTTATGGAAAGAAGGACATTTACCATTATGAGATATGCATAAAATATTGATTTGTAAGTCTAGATAAGATGCTATTTGAGTGATTCTCTATGATTTGAATGAATTGTTGCAGAAAATCTTTTATATTGTAATAATTTCTTGACAAGTTGAAGTCACATCATCTTAAAGTTTACTTTTATTGTCATGATGTCTCCCATACCCATGTTCATAATGTCTGATGGGAAATTGTACTAAACATACTTTCATTTCAGTCACCATGCATTCATACAGTATCAGTTTTGAAAATGTCTGTGTAAATATTACAAAGCATGTACATAAAGTTCGTAATGGCATTTTATCTTGGTTATTTTTTGGGCCAGATTTAAAATGTAAATACTTTGTATATGATAGTAGAGACAAATAAAATATTTTACAAAACAGTACTTGTTGATGTTTATCAGAGTAGAATAGAGTAGTACATTTAAATGAATATTGATTCTGGAATCTTTAATAATTATAAGGGACTTGATTTTTTTTTTTTTTTTGTTGCTTACTAGTAGTTTGAATGCAGATACAATTTGAAATCAAACTTTCATAATCAGGAGGTCATTGTGACTGAGAAAATCTTTCCTTACTTATGTAGCAATAGACTAATCACATATTGGGATTTATGTCTACCAGTAGATTTGATGGGCATGCTCTAGGTATGAACAATTTCTAAAAACAAGGCAAGCTGTTGACAAACAAGTTGATTAAACAACAATATCAACATTTTCGTTTTAAGTCTTCATTTGCAAATTCTAGGGTCGATTTAATGACCTCGTCAGCAAATGCAAAATATTAACTCAAATCCATGCTAACTGATGTTTTTCAATAATGCTAATTGTTATGTCATAATTGTCTACGGATTTTCCCGTTTTCCCGATCATAATAAGGAGCACAAGGCGGGCATGTCCAGTCGGCAGGGGATGTTCATTCCTTCATGGCACATGATTGCAACTCTGAGGTCCATGTTTGCCCTGCTCCCGATCTTTATTGTTTAAATGCACTTCCTGTACTTGATTGCGGTAAGTTATTTCCTGGTTTCCTTCAGCTTTTAAAAACATTTTTTCTTCCATGTGTTGATAAATTACGTCGACATAAAAAAGTACTTCGAAGGCTGATATAAATAAATTGTAATGTCAACATGATTATTATGACATTATTATGTACACGTATGATGTCAGATTTACCGTTTGTGGTAATGGTATTTTTCTTAAACCACTCACCCCCCCCCGGCTTTTCATTTACCTATACTGCTTCCGATGTTTCTTTTTTGTTTTTCTGTTACTTTTCATCTTTCATCTTGGGTTACGTTAGTGTCATGTTATAAATTTTGAATTTACAAGGTGGGATTTATGTGGGGTTAGAAATAACAAATACAGTATAGGTTATTACTTCTAATTAACTTTTATATATAAGAAAAAACAGCTTTTATTCAGAATTTATAAATTGGGAAGCTCTTCACTGAATTTGCATACATAGACCGTTAATTTGCGCCCTATATAGGTTTGTCAACAAACAGTCTCTAATGACGATAGTTAGAGATTGCTCCCACGTATTTCATTACCACAGAAATGAATTTGCTATTTAAGTTTTCCATTCAAGTGTTTTAACCAGTCGTTTTCCAGCAGCCGTGTGCTCCGGAGATGAGTGGTCGATACAGAGCTTGGAGTGCCCTATATAAGCCCGGGGGAGGATTCCTAATTGATAGCTGATTGCTCAACCGTTTTCCTACTCATTCACTCAACACGAAACCTTATGGTGTTACTTCAGTTAATCTTTCCTCGTATAGCAGCCACAAAAAGCTATTTCATGTACTCTACCTATTCATTTCCTTTCTAGTTCTAAAAAAAAATTTTGCCGAAAAATATGCACCCGCGCCTGGATTCGAGAAGGTTTAACACTTTTCCCACCCGCCCCAACTCGATCACGCACAACCACACCCTTTTCTGAGATTTTTATCGAATTCCTAGAGCATGTTGCCTATATTCTAATAGCAAATGTTTTAATTTTTATTAGGGATTATAATTAAAGGTAATATTTTTATCAACATGGAGAGATCTTAGCAAAATTTATGATGGAACATGTACTTTTTAAAAATACAAAAAAAAAAATTATATGTACCAAAGTGTCTTAAATAAATAAATACATCGTTTTAAATGTGGAAAGAGTGTGTTCATGAATACCAAAGAAGTATGTGTAGGTTATTTAACAAAATAGGCCATGTCCCCAAATATGATCACGATTTCTTTCTTTTCTTTCTCTCTTTTTTTTCAATTTAAAAAATCCTCATTTTTATTCAATTACCTATTATCTCAAAATCGTTCCATTGATCTCATTTACGCGAGTTAAGAAAATAACCTTTTTTCGCGTTTATATAACGTGAACTTTCGCGAATAAACGCGTTACTTTCATGGTGCAGTGAAATCTGTGTAATCAGACACATGTGTAATCACACTGTGAATTCCGACGTTTAAATGTGCTCCCATTTTACTATTTTCCATGTTTCTCTACACTAGTTCGTTAAAAATCACGCCAGAGA